TAATTTTACATGATAGTCAGAAAACAAAACAAAACAAAAACACACACACACACACACACACACACACACACGCGCGCGCACACACACACACGCACAAAAACAAGCCAAAACTGTAAAAAATGTCCACAACAAAAATCTGGACACAAAACATATGATCATAAAACTACACTATATCTACTGTATTTAAAACAGCAATAAAATATGTATTTATAGTTATTTCACAGATGTTTGCCATTATTTGAAAGAAAAAATATGTATACTAGGGACTGGAAATTAATAAATAATTTCAGGGTTATTTTTTCACTGTTATTTTACAGTTTCCCCCTGTTTTGTGAAATTACAGGTACAATCTAATAAAATCACAGAAAAAAAGCATTAATTTAGATGTTGGCAGTAAAAGAAAGAGAACTGGCCAAAACTTAACATAGTGTCCACATCTGTATTTTTTTACAAATAGTAATTTATTCTTTTACAGTGTGTGACCATAAAATAACACGTCTCTACCGTATTAAAATCAGCAAAAAATAAGAATTAAAAAACACATTTTACAGTTGTTAGCCATTATTTGAAAGAGAAATTATCCATATTAGGGATTGAAAAATGGCATAAAATATTTTTTGTGGTTTTATTTTACAGATCTTCCCTGTTTGTCAAATTACAAATCATCACAATCTATCCATCATCTAAACACCGCTTAATCCTCACTAGGGTCATGGGGGGGGCGGGGGCTGGAGCCTATCCCAACCGAAGGCAGGGGACACCCTGGATAGGTCCCCAGTCTATCGCAGGGCTACCAAACACACTTACGGACAATTTAGAATCACCAATCAACCTCAACATGTTTTTGGACTGTGTGGGAGGAAGCCGGAGAACCCAGAGAGAACCCACGGGGTGAACATGCAAACTACGCAGAAAGATTCCGGTGCCCCCACCGGGACGCAAACCGGCGACCTTCTTGCTGCGAGACAACAGCACTAACCAACTGCGCCACCTTGCAGCCCCATCACAATCTAGTTTAAAAAATAAATAAAAACGTCATTACTTAGAGGACAAAACAAATAATGGCCACATCAGAAATCTGCATTTTTACAAAAAGTAATTTGTTCCTTTACAATGTGTGACCAAAAACATTACATTGTTTATTTGTATTTTAACCAGTAAAATTTTTCATTATTTCACCCTTGCTGCTAGATTTTTTACAGTGTCGTTACTGTGACATTTAGAGAACAACAAGAAAACTAACCACCAGTGAGAGTGGTTGTATTACAGATGGCAAATGGAAGACAGGGGTCTGTTAAAATGCATTCACTAGTTCCTCAGCTCACCTCTCACCTTTTTCTAATTACAGGCCAGAGACTGGTGCAGCTGAAGACACGCAGACCTTCTGACACCATAAATACACCTCTCTGGTCAGTTACTGCAACCACATACCTACCGGGTCAAGCACAACAGTTGACACATTGCAACACCAAAGGATGCTTTTCATCCAACAGGCCGCCTATGAATGCACATGAAAGTGTGTCTACAGGTACACTTTTTAGGTAACCACCACCTTTCAATAAAGTGTTACCATCTATTGTATATATTAGTGTTTGGAAATGTTTGTTTTGTTGTCAGTTCTGTGCTAGACTGGCGATGTATAGAGAGGGGATCCAGCCTTTTGCCTACTATGAGCCTGGACAGTCTCCAGCCCTTTGTGAGCCTGCAAAAGAAAATAGGTGGATACATGAAGTAAATGCATATTTATACCATAAATGGTGGGTTCCGATTGGTTGGGAGATAGGAATTAACTGTCAATAACCGAATTGTTTGCCTGACCAAATGTGAATTAGGGGTTTGTTTGCTGTTTTAAAATAACAGACCAGAATTAAACTCTAGGTTTAGACAGCAACATCTCAGCCTCAGCTAAAGCGTTTGGAACTTTAGGTATTTGCATGACTACCAACAACAACAACTGACTGAAGGATAAATACCTTCTCGATGACAACCAGGCGCATGTAATTTCTAATGAGTATCATATTTGAGTCACTTCGTTGGTCCAAATCAAATAATGCTGAGAAGAGGAGAAATAGAAATTCTGAGTTTGGGGGAATAACTGTATTTCATGACTGTTCAAATGTAAGGCTAATAAAATCAACTATAAAGTAACCGATTTAAATTAACCACATGCATTAATCAACTTCTAATAGTTTTAGTCTTATAGAACTTCTGTGTTGTAGCAATGCTTTACACTGGAAAACACCGGGTTTGTATCGTTTGTATATTCTATGACTGTGATAGGAACTTGTCAGATAGTATTCCTCACCCGTACAGATGTATTAAAGCTAAACAACATAAAATAAAATATTTTCTGCCACAAGCCTCCAAAACAGCTACACCATAAATTCGACTCTACTGGAGGGATGATCACTGTCCTTCCAAAAGATATTCCTTCATGTGTTTGTTTCATATTGGTGGTAAGGAGCACTGTTCAGTATGTCCAGAATCTCTCAGGGATGTTCAACAGGGTTTAGATCTGGTGACTGATGCACATTGTTTCACACTCCTGACACCATGGATCCCTCTTGCTACACTGTATAAAGAAAAAGCTCCAACAGCATAAAAGAGTCGCCAAACCTTCTGACTGTAAAAGGCCCAGCATCCATGTTGTCTGTTTTCTTGGTGTCTGTCATTAGAGCTGCACCAGTGGTTTCTTGTTCATGTTCTTTAATCATTAACTGTTGTGTTTTTAGCTCATCTTTTTAACTCAACTGCTGCACTTAATTCTGAGCAACTTGTGCTTTACTTGTGTTAAACTTGAAACTTCTGCTTCTCTATGCCAGGAGTAAATGTGCATTTTACTCTGTTACATTTATTTGGCAATAAATACTACTAAATACTACACATTAAAATGGGAAAAAATATTTTTCTGAATGTGCTATATATTTACTATTAGAGTGAATTAAAGATGCTAAGCTGTACATAAGTACTTAAACCAAATAGTTGATCACTATCAATAATGAAAATGTTCCTTTCACATTAAGATATCAAATATAATATTCAAATAATATATTATAATCTACATTAGAGCAAACGAGAGTAAGCACCCCCCTTAAGAATAATAAATATTTTAACAACATTAACATATATATTCTAAATATCAGTATACTATGTACACAAGAAGGACGCCAAAGTGAGCACATTGAGAGGATTATTAAATCATAACAGGCTGCAACATATAAAACCTCTTAATAGAAAATTAATTGTAAAATCTTGAAGAGAGGCATATTCCCTCCACAACCATGGGAGGAAGTCCTCCAGGGGCAAATCTGAAGTTCTCAAGTTCTTGAGTCAACTATATTGTCATCCGAACTCTACACACAAGTTATACAGCGCAATGAAACTGCATTCCTCCCAAGACCTATACAAGACGGGAATAAGAACAAGACGTAATACACATATCATTTAGACAGAACATGTACCATTAAAGAACCAGACATCACTTCATGCAAAAAAAAAAGTGCATGAAGAAAGTGACTTAATGCTGTAGAAATTCAGTAATAAATGTAGCTAAAATACATTGCCAGGTGCCCCCAGTTGTAAATCCATCCATCCATTATCTATACACTGCTTAATCCTCACTTGGGTCATGGGGCTGGAGCCTATCCCAGCTGACTCAGGGTGAAGGCAGGTTCACCTGGACAGGTCACCAGTCTATCACAGGGCTACACTTAGAGACAGACAACCAAGCACACTCACATTCACACCTACAGACAATTTAGAATCACCAATTAACCTCAACATGTTTCTGGACTGTGTGGGAGGAAGCCAGAGAACCCGGAGAGAACCCACGCTGCACGGGGTGAACATGCAAACTCCACGTAGAAAGATCCCGGTGCACCCCAACGCGAACCGGCTGCGAGGCAACAGTGCTACCAACTGCGCCACCCTGCAGCCCCCGTTGAAATTTTTTTAGAAAATACAAAAAAGGTCTATATTAAAGCTATAGTTATAAAATGCATCATAAAAGAATCATATTACTGTATTGATCCACATGCACTACATTTAGAAAACTTTATTGGTCCCCAGGGGGCAATTAAAAAGGCATGAAGAGCAGGCAGTGCAACAATGACATAAAAAATAAGTTAAGTAACATAAATATATATATGAAGAGTTAATTTGCAAAAACAGGTAACTCCATCTTCACAAACTTTCAGAAAACTCACTTTTCCATCGTCTACCTGAGACAATATCAATAATCTTAAGTCATCTCTAGTTTTGTCAAGTCATTTCTACTGAGCCAAATCCACTCAACTTCAGTTTGATTGATGCTACCTCAAGCAAACAAAAAATAAAAAAAATATATCCAATCCAATCCAATCCAACTTTATTTGTAAAGCACTTTCAAAACAACCACGGTTATGTATATATATATACACACACACACACACACACACACACATATATATATATATATGTATGTATGTATGTAGGACAAGTAAGATAGTATGAAACAAAAAAAGAAGGAAAGACTTACTTAGTAACATACCAGAGCAAATACAGATGTACACAGGTGCAAATGAGGTATATACTTTAGGTAAATTATAGAGTAGATTAACTCTACTTTCAAATTTTAATGTTACACATACAGAAATTATTTTGGATTTTTAAACACCATCTTCTGTGCTAATTTGCCTTTTCGACAGATAATCATATCGCATTTTCCTCTTTATTTGTCACAGTCTCTGTGTGTGACTGTAGACTCAGGAGCTAGTTTCTTGGGCACCTTAGGCTATAATTGAAGAAGTCTTTGATCAGGATTATCAAGGTTTTTTGTTTATATTTCTATAAAGAGATTTTGATTTAAATGTATGATTAAAACATTCAAAAAAGTTCAGTTTCAGCTGTTGTGTGTTGTGGCTGCAGTTCTGTTTCTGGCCTCTAGGTGAGGATGAAGCGCTCACAGGAAGCAGGAAATGAAGTCAACGTCGACGAGCGAAATTCAAACTTGTGTAACAAAACATCTCTGCTGGAGGACTTCCCGTCTGCCTTATGGTTGTTAACTGACTCCGCCGTCTTCTTCTGTTTTCGCACAGTTTCAGGTAAATTCGTAATATCGAGCAGCGTCGCTCGTATAGCTTTAGCTTTTGCTTACGTTACTTCTATTACTCCGCTGTTAGCTGCAGCTATTAGTTCGTTAACGTTAAGCTAGCTGCCAGTAAAATGTTAGCGACCGGGTGCTGAAGTAAAAATTGAAATAAAAGAGGGTTTTCAAGTTTAACTAAGCGTATAATAGTAAAGTTCTAACGTTTTCTCTTACCGCAGGGAGGTTTATCGTCATTGTGCTGGAGCAGGGAGGATGCCTGTGGAAAGGACGGAGCCCCGCGGAGCCGAAGAACTCCACAAATATTATGAAGTCTATGAGACGATCGGCTCAGGTAATGTCAGCGACAGTCCTGAGTAAAACACATTTGTCTGCTATGTCTTCACCGGTGTGTGTCATGGACCCTGTGTGTGTGTGTTTTTCAGGAGGCTTTGCAAAAGTCAAGCTGGGTCGACACATCCTGACAGGAGAGAAGGTTGCTATTAAAATCATGAATAAGAAAGATCTTGGGGTGAGTCTAAAACTAAGGACACTGAAACACTATGGCAAAATCACAAGAGCTTTAACATCAAGCTATAATGAACATTTGTCACTAAAGTACATTAAACGTCTGCTATATGTCAAAGATTACAATGTCTGTAGTGTATAAAATGTCTAAAATTATCATTAGAGTTCACCACATCCTAAAGTGAGTCAGCCTATTATTATTGGGATTATCTGCTATTATTTTGACTTTAGTTCACTTATTTTATTTTATTTTGACTTTAGTTCACTTCAGTCTTTATTCAAATCCCTTACTGGCAGTTTGATAACATAACAGCAAGACAGATAACCTTCTTCCAAAAACAATTTTTGGAAACAGCACATAACAGTATATAAAACAAATACATTCATATTTGTGACAATTACTCCTAAGCTTCAGTGTGAACCTGAAGACAAGACAGAAAACGGGAAACAGTTTCAAACAGATTAGGCATCTTTGTTTTTCTTCCCCTATGATTTTTCCACCGTTGCTCACAAGACTTGAATGCATTCTTTTCTCATTTTGCATTATGGTTATCAAACCAGCTGATTATTGATTTATAAAATAATTCAATCAGAGCATTATCTACATTAAAGGGCTAGTATGTAGAATTTTGTGGGGTCGAGCAGTGAGGTTGCACATTGAAACCAATTCCTGAAACCAATTCTCCCTTTCCAAGTGGCCATACTTTCCATTCTGGGTTACTCTAGAAACATTCCCTGATTAATAGTTGCTGGTGATTATATGCTAATAAAACTGTAATTATTAATACCATGTTCCATTTCTCCTTATAGATTCTCTTAAATCCTACTTTGGTCTTTTAAACAATCTTAATTTTCTAAACAGCATCGTCACTGATGTCACATTTTGCACAGCAGCAGTTACATATTTACATTAAAGGACATTAAAAATGAAGCACACAAATGGTAGCTCCTAAGTACTCACACACACTCCCGTCTGGTCCCTAATGTGTTGTGAGCTGGGAGATATGAGTGTCCATTGTAACGTCATTAAATGTGTCTTTTGTTTGAGACACAGTAAGCTGCAAAATAGCATCATCGCACCATTTTTTACGATCACCAGTCATCTGTGGCATGCTGCAATATTTTTTAAAAAACTGTACCTCCAAAAATGTCTGGTTTAATGTTTGCTCAAGCTTTTATTTGTATTATATATAATAAGGGTGAATGTTAGTAATTCATTTTTCTGCTACAATAGGAGGCTGAATGACATTGAAAGCAGATAATGATCAATAAATGTGTCTTGCTGCTTTCCAAGTATTTCAGGACTGTGTTTAGTAAAGTTGCCGTTGCATCCTCACCAGCCTTTTTTTGTTCAATAGGCAAACTGGGGAATGTCTAGAATGTTCACACAGCAGTTAACAGTTTCTCAAAACACTTAATTGTGAGCACAGTTGCCTTGAAAACCAACGTATGTCTCAGTATGCTTGATTTTTGGCACAGTTTGGCCACTTGCTAATAGACGGACAAAACATGAACACAATAAGATAAATATTGAACAAATGATACACCCAGTATAGTGAAAACTAATGGTTACATGCATACATAAACAAAAAGCAAATTACCATCTTTCTCCTCAGGATGACTTGCCGCGTGTGAAGGTGGAGATCGAAGCAATGAAGAATCTGAGTCATCAGCATGTGTGTCGACTCTACCAGGTCATAGAGACGTCCACCCAGATATTCATTGTGCTCGAGGTAAGGGAACATGCATTGAGCATGGGTAAGATTCAGTAGAGGAATGTAACATGTATTCACTTTGTTTCTTTCTCTTTCCTGTCACTTCTGTCAGTATTGCCCAGGTGGGGAGTTGTTTGACTATATCATAGCAAAGGATCGCCTCTCAGAGGAGGAGACCAGGGTGTTTTTCAGGCAGATTGTGTCTGCAATGGCCTACGTCCACAGTCAAGGATACGCGCATAGAGACTTAAAACCGGTAAAAACAGCCATTACTTACATGTGTAGGAGTAAGCGAGCGTATAGTAAAATCTATCTTGTGACTGCAATGTTTGTCTCTCTTAACTTTAGGAAAATCTATTGATTGACGGAGACCATAACTTGAAGCTGATAGACTTTGGCTTGTGTGCCAAACCTAAGGTATATCGCATTTTATTTTGGCTATTTGCCTCAGTAATTTGAAATGAAAGAAAGAAATGTAATTACAAGTGTAAAATTACTTGCATTTTTTAGGGTGGACACAGATCTATTTGTTTCATCCCACAAATATATATTGCATTTTCAAACACTGTATTTGGCCACCTAGTCTTCACAGTATGTTTTCTTGTCCTAAAATAAAGCTAATGGGTAAACAGAAGGTGACATCCAAAGTCAAGTGTATACACATTGTAGTAAACACTGCATATAATCATGGTCTGAATATCATGTGGTTGCTTCCATCCCAGGGAGGTTTGGGTTATGAGCTGATGACGTGTTGTGGAAGCCCTGCATATGCTGCTCCTGAACTCATCCAAGGAAAAGCATATATTGGTTCAGAGGTAAGAAATGTGTGCTATTTAATATTTACAATGTTTAGAAACATTAAGGTTTGATTTTAAGATGACACAAACCTACAAAATGTAGATTTGCTTTTCAGAAAGCTTAATTGTTACCTGTCTGTTCCGCAAATCTGCTTTTTCACGGTGCCCTGATCATATTCACTGGTGCACGACTCAGTGCAACTGAGCTGTGAAATGCTATCTGTAACTGTTGAAGCTGAAATACTGCTGCGTGATGTGTAACCTCCAGGCAGATGTATGGAGTATGGGAGTGCTGCTGTTCGCTCTGCTCTGTGGATACCTGCCGTTTGATGACGACAACTGCATGGTTCTCTACAGGAAGATTGCAGTGAGTGCATTGTTGTGCTTGTAACATTTCCCAGCTCCTACATGTTTTGTGGCCACTCCCAACAGCTGTTTGTGCATTTACAGTCAGATTCCCTGCTTGAATATCACCACTAAGGCAAATTTTTTTTTTAAAAAGGGCTGCTAATATGTTTGGTTTTCTTTCATGTTGATTTCATGTCTTTAATATTTTCAGAGAGGTAAATATGATAACCCACGGTGGCTCTCTCCAGGTAGCATCCTCCTTCTCAACCAGATGATGCAGGTATGTATGCAGTTACTTTGTGTGCTTTTTATTTTTGTTTATCTGATTCTGACCCTTTCTGACTGTAGTTATTTCTCTTCTGTTCTCATTGAAGTTCAGTAGAACTACAAAAAATGTATTTCTGACTTATAATAAAGCTAAAGCCGTTTTGACTAGTTTCTGATTGTACAGCATCATAATATTTTGACTATGTAGTGTGTAGCATATACATCTGCGTATTGAGCTGTAGTTTCTGCATGTGTCCTGCAGGTGGACCCCAAGCGACGTGTGACTGTCAAGCAGCTGCTGGACCATCCCTGGGTGACGAAAGACTACAACAGCCCAGTCGAGTGGTACAGCAGGCAGCCGGTACGAACCCCCCCCCCCCAGAAAAAAAATAAAGCTTTTATAAGTGCACATATAAGCAACCGTATAAAGACAAACTCACGAGTGGCTTTTACCATAGATGGGTAGTAATCAGCCTGCCTCAAACTGGAAATTTCATCCATTCTGTGAGATTTTTCTATTTTTTTCCAGTCAGCTAAGGAATTTCCATAAAACAATACCATAAAACCAAACATACAAAAAAAAAGAGAGAAGTATCGTCTTTGGGTTTTGTGTGAAACAGTCTTGATTTTGTTTTTGTAGCTTGGCCACATAGATGAAGACTGTATCACTGAGATGGCAGTCAACATGAAGCGATCAAGAGAGAGCACCACAGCGCTGGTGAAGAAGGTTTGTGTCTGTGTATGCACATATTACAGCATAATGTCTCGTTTTGTCTCGTATTTATCGTGTTGGTTGTATATATGTTTATATATACATTTTCAGTTCCCCATTATTTGTAAAAGCAATATTATATATAACTTCTATTAAATACGCAGTTAAATGAGTCTTAACTCCCACAGTGGCGGTATGACCACACAACAGCTACTTACCTGCTGCTGCTGTCAAAGAAGCAGAGGGGAAAGCCTGTCCGCCTGCGCCCTGAACCAGCTGTCTGCGAGGACTCCTGTTCTCCTCTGCACCAGGGACTACAGGTCAGACACAAAACCACAACTTCTTTGATGTTCTGCTCTTTTAGGGCTACCGACAGCTAGATGTTGTTGCACTGATTCTGCGTGCCTAACATATGTACCAAGTGTTGTTATGGATATTTTTGTCTCGTTTTTTTTTGCTTCAGTCAAGGGAAGTCCTCCACTTTAGTGAGGATGAAGACGCTGTGATTGTGGGTTCTCTGGACTTTTGCTCGGACTACATTGACGATTGTCCGTGGGTTTCAGTCCCACAGTACACACCCCAGCGGGTCAGAGGTCAGCCAGATGGAACCACAAACAAAGACATGGTATGTGGAAGGCGGTTCAAGAGTAGGCTTTCCTTTCTTCCGTGTGCGTAAAGGAGCAGAATCAGAAAATGGGATAAATGGATTAAACACTTTCTTTTTAGACGTGCTGTCCAAACACATCAGAAATCAAATGTGTTTAGTTGTTTTGGACAGCCTGACAAGAAGGCGGAGTGACAAGCCAGTAATCATGAAGAAGAGGAGGAAGGTTGGGAGATGTTGTTTCAAAATGCAGATAACGTGCAGATTTTCAGACAGTCTCCCTAGAGGGACACTGACAGTGTTTCTTTGGGATGTACACTTGAAAAGTACACGAATAGTTGAGTAACAAATGAAAAAAAGTGATGGAAAAAGTAGTGGCTGGCTTCTCTATCACCTCCACAAAGTGGAAAGTAGGTGTTTGTGTTGCATCCTCTGTTTAAAGTTACTTGTAATGGGCCACTGCTATAGCTCACCTGCTTGAGCTGGCGACCCATGTACAGGGACTACAGTCCGAAGCAGCGGCCATGGGTTCCAATCCCGCTCATGGCCCTTTGCTGCAATTCCTTCCCCCATTCTTCTCCCCCACTTTCCTGTCTCTCTTTCAACTGTCCTATATAGTGAAGACAAAGAGGCCCAAAAAATAACTTTAAAAAAATTACTTGTAGTGAGGCTACATCCTCACTAATATGTTGTAATTTTAAAATGGTGTTATAAACAGCATTTTAAAATGAAATCATGCTAGTGTTGATGGGGCTATGAGCACTCTCTGTCCATTCTCCAGGGAGAAGGTTTGAGAAGCTTTTTGAGCATCTCACATGAAGTTCAGACAGACTGTTAAAAAAAAAAGCTTGATTCTCTAGGAGAAATGCACTCATTCCACTTTATGTCCTTGCATTCTTGAAGAGGTTGCTGTCACCGTCAGTGGAAAAAAAATCTGCTCACAGCACGACCCCAGAGAGGGGCCGAACGGCGACGCCACAGCGCCAGGAGAGGAGGGAGCGAGACCAAGAACGAGCCAGTGAGAACAAGGAGAACACTGCTGACATTTTCGCATTGCCTCCCCCTCGAACTCCTGTATCCAGCAAGAAGAACGCACGCCCCAACAAGAATGTGTTGACCACACCCAATCAAAATGCTAATGGAACCAAACCCAATGTGGTCACGCCGAAAGGTAAGAAGATTTTCTTGGTTACTCAACCAATGGCAGTAATGGAGTTCAGAGACTACAAACCTTCAGGGCATCATACAGTTTATTTGTATACTGTAATTGTTTGTTATTCCAAACAAGGGCTTGAAGTCCAATCCCCATTAGATTAGATTTGCATTAACTAACTGGCCCTCTCCACATTCCCCCCTTTCATTTATCTATTCCTCTCTGTCTGTCTCATGCAGCTCTCATAATCACAAGTGCCACATCCACATGCCACACATTTGCAAGTAAATTGTCTTCTGGTAATAAACTCATTTATTCGGCCTGTTTTTATCCCAAAGCCACTCATATTTCTATGATTTAGCTGTCATTACGCTTCTGAAAATGGACACACACTTGGATTCACTCGCACACACACTTATCGCTGTCAACTCAAAGGTGAGGTTATTATCAGGAAGCTAATTCTATTCACTTATCTATAAATGAAGGACACTAATATGAATGGAGAATCATTAAAGTCTTAATTATTTGTCATAGTGACTTCTCTGCTCAGATGTCCAGCCTCATTAGCTTTCCTCTATAAATTTGGCCACCAGCCGGCTAACTTGCCGCAGCTGACCTAGTTCATGTAAAATCCTCGGAATCTGGCTCGGCCCTGCTCCTTTTTACAGCCTCCTGCTCTGTAAGCTGCTGTGCAGTGCAGACATGCTACCTGTGACACACTCACACTCACACTGTGGTCTGTGTGTGTCTGTCCCTAGGCGTGTGCTGTGACAGGTGTAGCTGTCTCTTTCTTTTGCTCGCCGTCCCACGTGGGCTGTAGTGACATGTGTTCTCATGCCGCTAAAGCCTAACTCGCTTTTGTGTGTATGTATCAGTGTGTATTTTGCCTTTTTTGTTCACAACTCCAATGTCAAAGCCAGGCAGTTCCAATGCAGAAGAGCAAAGGGCTGTTACTGAAACTGTTTCACATTTAATCCCATTCCAGGCAGTTTTCCTCCTTTGAGCCGCTTTGAGGTTGAAAAAAAAGTAACTCCATATTATCTGAAGAACATGTTTTTGTGTTGTTATATGTTTGCTGAGCGACAATAAGAGAAATATTCAAACGCCAAATTATTTTTTTTCTGCAGTTGCACCATTCCGTCAAATACAAATACATCGTCGACGTCTTGTGTCCATTTCATACACTGGTGTATACTCAGAATTTTGCTGCACCATTGACATATGGGAAACTGAAGAAAATTATTGCTACATTAAAACACTAGAAAACTCCCCAAGTTTTAAGAAAAGCAAAATGTGATAATTTTAGCTTCTTAGATTTGACAAGATTGAAAATGACTAAAGTGATTAATCCAGTAATTGTTCAGCTCAACACATTTGGCACGCTTAGAAACTTTTGATTTTAAGTTGTGTTTGAAATTAAATTCTGATGGTGTAAACAATTTTGCTAATTGTCCGTGTGGTTTATTGTGACTAAAGCTGGAATAATTCACTTTTTTTTGTTGTGCTGTGTGCGTGTGGTAGGTGGTGACAGTGCATCCAAGGAGCACAATAAGAAGAGAGCAGAAGAAAACAAGGACTCTACAAACATTGAAATACTGGCCTTCAGTCCAGAGCGAAGGTGAGCGAACGACAGAATGAATGGAGGCTCTGTGGGGATTCAGAAGTAGGAGAAGGGGCTGTGTAGGCAGCTGAGAAGGCTAAACACTAACACTATGCTAAGTCTAAAGTTGTGAATATCTAAGAGTGCTGAAGAAGTTAGAGTTACACACAGCCTACTGAGGCTGAAGGGGGTTTTAATGTTCATAGTATGGTCAAGTGAGACTCTGTTCACTCTGCAGGTCTCGGTCTCTGGACATGGCTGTAACAGGAGACAGCGGGAAGAAGAAGCGAACTGGGAAGGTGTTTGGCTCACTGGAGAGAGGCCTGGATAAGATGATTACCATGCTGACCCCGAGTAAGAGACGGGCCCTGCGCGACGGCCCACGCAAGATTAAGGTATAAGACATAACAGACCCAATTTATTTAATATTTTTTTCCCAGTTAAACAAAATGGTGTTTACAGTACAACAGCAGCATCAAACTGAAAAATACAAACAATACAATGCAGTTGGATGATTGTCGACTCCCCATGTTTAAAATATCAAAGTTCCTTCACATGTTTTATCAACAGAGCAAACCTTTATCAGTCTTTTGAGTCTTTTTTAATTGGTCGGCTCATTGTTTTGTCAAAAAAAATCTTTAAGCTGCTGGTTTTGTCCAACCAGTGATACAAAACACAAATATATTTAATTTACCGTCAAAGTAAAATCACAGAGTTTGTGATCAGTGTGTGTATTTTCCTCCAGGTCCAGTATAACGTGACTCTGACCAGTCAGACCAACCCAGACCAGGTCCTCAACCAGATCCTCTCCATCCTCCCAGAGAAAAACGTTGACTTCACACAGAAAGGGTAAGAAGACACGTGTTTCCTCCTCACCGGCGGACCGGACTCACCTTTTGATCAAATTTCTAAGCTGTTTCCCTCCTCTTCATTTAGGTATTCTCTGAAGTGTCGGACCTGGGATGACTTTGGGAAGGTGACCATGGCGTTTGAGCTGGAGGTTTGCTTGCTTCAGAGGCCGGAGGTTGTTGGTGTGCGACGGCAGAGGCTGAAAGGAGACGCTTGGGTCTACAAACATCTGGTGGAGGACATCCTCTCCACGTCCAGTATCTAAACAAGGCATTTTCTTGGCAGTAGCACTATCTGTTCTTAAGTCAGTAGGAACTGGCTTTTTTTTTTTTTTCTTTTTTCTCAGCAACATGATGTCTCTTTCCACATCTAGGAATTAAGAATGACTGATCAGTGAGTAATGCAGGAATCTAAACGTAGGTAGGAGTCTTTGCACTTTAATGATCGGTCTTTCATTATTCCTGTAGAATATTTAAACTGTCCTTAGGCCAGCTTACAGATCTTAGAATCTTACATTAAATTTATGAGCATTACGTGCTGGGATTCTGTACAGTATCGTTTTTTATGTAGAATAATTTTTACTTCCCTATTTCATCATTCTTAAGCTAAATATAATTGCCGTCAGTCCTCTTGAGATGAATGTGTGAGTGGATGAAATGTAACACAACTATTTACACCACACCTTCCAGCTGCTTGTTACCATATTTATGTCTTGATGTTGTTATTCTACCCTGTAGGTGCAAAACTTGATTGAATAAAATAAAGAAACAGAGCATTACTAATTTACTGTTATTGTTTTTTTATGTACATGTGTTTACGGTGCTCTCATCATTATGTTTTACATGGCAGTATGAAGTGTCTGTTTTGTATTTCTTATGTGTGTTTTTTTTTTTTTCTGGTTTTCAGTGTCACATTGTGTCCGTAAGATTTTTATTGACGATGTAAAAGAAGCACAATAAATGAATTCTGTTTACGGAGACAGATGATGGAGATGAATTTAGTTACTTTTCTTTTCTCATTCATTCAGCAGTCGATGGAGCATTGGCGTGTTCTACACTCTGTCACCGTCCTTCTGTTCATCTTCTAGGCATCGCTTCACTTTGAGATTGATGGTGATGGTTTAGTTTAGTGACAGTGTTTCTGAGCATTTACCTCCAATAAAATGAGTAGTGAAAGGTGTCACAGTGTTTCTCACCTCAGATACTTTGAGTTTTCAAGCACGTTGCTTGCATGTTAAATAGACTGATGGTTTTGATCGTGAAACTCTTAAATACAGACGTGTTTTTGGTGTTTTTATGTCATAGTAATGGATTTATATGGAGTAATAGTAAGTGTGGCACAATTTTGGATTATCTTGTTCTGAAAAAGTCCAATTAAGGATAATGAATTAGCTTCGATGCTCAAAATGGTGGATAATCATTGTTATGGCTGAAATGTCTGTCAGAGCATGATCATTATGACTGACTGAATGACTAAATAATGATGATCATTATCTGCAACATTTGAACGGAGTAAATAGTCTAAGATCTGGCTTTAAACTAACCTTGGTACCATACATTAAACGGTAACAGTGAGTTAAATATTGTACATGGGGCTTTAATTAAAAAATAAATCTCCTCCTTCCCTATTGCAAAACAATACGCCACTTAGTCTTGACAGTGTTGCAGCTGATCAGTATTTATTTGTGGCAGGCTCTCCTTGGTGTCTCAGCGGGGGAGGAGAAGGGTAATGGTGGGTTGAGTTAATGATAAGGGGGGTTTAACCTTAATGGAGCGAGAGGGTGGGGGGGTGGAATGATCATTTAAGACAGAGGTGAAGGTTGGAGTTGGAGAAGTAAAAAAAAACAAAGAAAGAAAAAACCTTATCATTCTAGTGTTGGTAAAGCCTCCTGCTGGGCTGAGGTTGGAGGATCAGAGTTGTGTTCTAGTGTGTAGTTTGGACAACAGCTGGACTGCAGCTGCTGTCACGTTTATCACTTTCACCTACTTCTTTTTTTTTTTTTAAATACATTTTTACCCATCTCTTTTATTCTGGCTCTCACGAGATAGTGATCAGTAGAAGCTACATCGGACAGATTCATCTTATCTTTTCGCATGTATTCCTGTGATTTTTCTATTAAATGTTTTGGATCTGTAGGATGAATTTGTTTCATTTGGACAAATGTGCATTAAATGCTCTTGTCATTGTCCCTCCGCAAAAACAGGTGGCGCTGAAATGCCTAAGAGTGGTTCAGTCCATGCTGGTTTGACCACTGGTACAAGAAAGCCTGCGTGTTGCCCCTTAAACACAAGAGGATTACTTCAGTAAAGCTGAAAAACTTTGCAGACTATAGGCCAGTGTGAAAGGAGCAGGAGTGAGCTGATTCTCTGGGTGAGTAGAATTCTTTGGTAAATAAAAATGTGCAGAGACTTTTCAAGATTAGAGCGGCTTTGTGTTTAATTGTTTCTGCTTGTTGTTTTCAGGTTTGTGGAAGTTTGTAAGAAAAATGAGGCTTTTGCTTGCAGTCACTCTCATTGTTCTGTTCCTCTGTAAGTTGATTGAAGATTACTATTATACTGAAAGGGTACAACAATTTTGCTTGCTGGTTTTATTTTTTTGTAGGCTGTGTCACATCTGTTTTTTTCTTTTTATTCTCCTGTCAGTAAAACTATTCATTGATAATTTTTCAGGGCTTCATAAGGCTCAGACGTCTAGTGGCAGCTTACATGGAAGTGCTTGTGAGGTAAGTGGATAAAAATATAAGGAATCAAATGTGCTGCAACTTCCTCCGATATACATCTGGGAGTTTGGAATGAAACATCAGATATGTTTAAAAAGGATATTGTCACACAAAATTCCGCTTGCTTTTAAAAACTTTTAACACTTCTTCACATCTCAAAAAGCCAATCACATCAAATAAGTTGCAGAACACTGGTTACAGTGTCTGCCACATAACTGCAATGTCTGCAACTCAGTGCAGATGGGAGCATTTTTGGACCCTTTCTTATCTAACATTTTCCCTAAAATATTGAGAACAACTTCATTTTAAATGGCTGTAATCATTAATTGTTTTTGTTTTTTTATGAAGACTAGATGACAATATAGTCTGTATGTGAAAGCTCATAGTGATTGAAATGAATCATTAAAATCTGACCCTGCAGTTCCACTCAGCTCCATGGAGCATTTCAATGTCCTCAAGCTCATTGTTGAGGTGTCGAGCTTACAATATTACTGGTTTGGTTCAATCTCACTGTCATCCAGCACACAGCAGCTGACTGCACACTACCTGCCCAGTCCAAACAGCAGACAGACACAGTTAACACTAGCTGGTGAATACAGTGGAGGATTTAAGGGGTGGAGGAGACCAAAATTGGAGCTAAAACAGACAGACATGAATGACTATTTATCAACGTCGTCACTCACCCTCATTTTTCTCTTTCAGGCAGCATCCGTGAGCGAGGTAGCAGTCTCTGTCCTCTTATCTCCTTTGTCTCTGTACTCCTGGCTGGCCTCCACGCTGCTCAGGTTCGTCCTGTCCGTCCCAGCTCTCGTCCTCAGCTCTGCCTACCACTCCCTGCTGCTGCTCCTGGCTCTGCCTTGGTGCGTTGCCACATTATGCATCTCCATGCTGCTGACTTGCCTCCATGTCGCCCTGTACCTGCTTCACCTGGCCTTGGTGGTCGGGGTGTTGGCCATTTTGACCCAGCAGAAGCTGGCTGACAGTGCCCCCAGTGAGGAAGGGCCATACCAGCAGAGGAAAGTGGAAGAGTGTCAAACCAAAACCAGGCTCAGAATGTTTGGCCGCAGAGTCGCGCAGCAAGGCTGATTTCTGTTGCATGATGATGTTATTGTGTGTTTCTTTCAGTGAAAATACACCTCAGTTCATTTGGACCTGCTTTTACCTTCATTTATGTAAAGAATGTGAAACTGTAGTTGATTTCTTTCCACAGATTTTGTGTTTAAATTGGCTTTGAGACACTTTATAAGGAAGTGAAGACAGGGAGGAGGAGGAGGAGGAGTGTGAGTCCTCGTGATCTAAATGAGGGTGAAAATATATCTGCTAGTTGCTGCTTTAACAAACAGCCTGCAGTCGTCCACTTATCTATCTCTCTCATTTTCTCTCTTGCTGTCTTTTAATGTGGCCCCCCAATTATCTGCGGATTGTTGTGCTGTTTGCTTCCCATCTGCAGATGTTATCATTAGACATGTCTGTCAAATGGAGATGAGAGGATAAGAGAAGTAGAGAGAGGAATAAGAGAAAATTTTTTACATTCATTGCGTCAGTGCTTTTAATGTGTGTGTGTTTATACGGTGCAGTCCAACAGTGCAGCGCATGCAAACCATATTCCTGAAAAACACTAATAAAGGGAGTTAACAGGGAGAGAAACTACATGTGGTGGAGGCGTTGAGCCAAGGCGGCGAATGCTTGCCCAACCAGTAAACAGCATGTGCAGACAAACTATGGCTCTCTGATCTCAGTGAGGCATTAAAATTGCACACAAAAAAACAACAATTTTATCAAAACTATTAACACTTCAGGCGAAGGGTGTAGCCGTTAAAAGTAATGGGTGAACTTTCTGCGCTGTTGGAAGTGTGTGTGAAAGAGACAGAGAGACAGAGGGGAAATGAGGCTGGATCATAGAGATTTATTACATGGCCGTGGCATCCTAATTAGCATAAAGACTGGACTGGCCCACTCAAGCAGAGAATTAAAAACCTTAATTGTGCTGTCAGCCTTCCTCTCTCTTTCTCACTGTTGACTCTACTTCATTCCACTCGCATTCGTCTCCTCGCCCTCTCCTCTCTGCTTATGAAGTAGCCTGCGTCCATGCTGTTTAATTGTTTGTGATAAATGGGAAGCAGGATGTTTGTAATTGTCTCAGAGATGGGAAAAGGACGACAGAGTTCGTCTGGAGGAGGGCGAGGAAGAGGACGGGGGAGAGTTGTCCTATTTCGTAAGAGGAGAGCGGGGAGGCCATTTATCAAATGTTTGTTTGAAGCAGGAAAATTAGCTTGGCAGACACAGGCGAGGAAGTGTTAGTCAGATTTGAGGCCAGACTGGAGCTGCAGAGTTTTCCAGTGTAATATTGTGTTTACACCACAAAGATGGCAAAGGTTCCAGTGTTTATGACTTGAATTATGCTTCTCATGCATAATTGGGCGTGTGAGGGTTGGATAGTATATCAGTAGCACTTTATCCATTAAATCTGCAGTGACACATTTGTTGTTTGAGTTGTTTAATTTCCAGGCTGGTTTTCCAAGTTGGATATATTAAAGCTTTCCAAAAAAAAAAAACTCCAACTGTCTACTCACAATTGTATATTCTAGCATGAACACTATTTAACTGAAACTAATACAGTGACTCTGAAATGACAGGAATATGATGATTAGGAATGTCAGCAAGTTAAGGAGGAGGCCAGGAAAGATAAAAACGTGTAATCCACTAGTTTAGATGTCCGTAGATTCTCAGTCATCCAGGTCATGGTGTGCTAAGAGCTTCATTAGAATGCAACTGGGCTTCACTTTCTGGTTCTTCAAGAAGAAACTGATGGGGAATTCCAGACATATGTGGTCACTCCCAATGCCCACTGTTAATGGTTCATTAATGACCAAAGACTCACGTACCTTGGGATGTGAATGGTTGTGAAACTGCTGGGGAAGACTCAGGTTGTCAGTGATTGTGAAGCTTTCTAGGCGACATCTCAAGACCGCATTATAAGTACCTGATTAGTGCCATTGGAGACTTTCTCCTTGGTTTAGAGATGCCACTTGCAGTTTCACTTAGATGACTTCCTTCATTCTTCAGAACAGCTGTCTTGTCTGTCCAGAATGTGAACAAACAATTAAACAATTTCCCTTGTGGATCAATAAAGTTTATCTAAGTCTAAGTCTAACATTACTATCCCCTTGTCCTGAAGATGAAGCTGCAGAGTCTCGTCAATGGTACCACTTATCGGTTGGTTTTACTAAATCTTTTTTTCCCCATATCACCCGTATTCTGTAGTTGTGGACACGTGGATAGTTGTGAACATTGCAGGGAGTGTTAAAGAAACCTGTTGAACTGATGGGCTGTACCACACAAACAACCAGCAAGACACATGTGCAGTTGTCATCCAGCACGCCAAAATGCCATGTTGTTTCCTTACAACTTGGTATGTGCAAGGTTTCTGAACTGGATCCTCCATTTGAAAACACTGGTGCAAAGTGTTTAGCTCTTGTCACATGTTGTAGCCTTCATTGTTGCGTTTCTTAAAGACCATGATCGGCAGTTTATACATTTCTCGCTGAGAATTCTTGTCCTAAAGCAAATTGTGGTGCACTTAGCAGCAAATAAGAAGTGGTTTCATCAGTCATCAGATGTCTAGATGAATCACAAAAAAAAGAAGAACAAAAAAAGTTGAGAGCCAGATAAAAAAGAGCAATCAGGGATACCATTACTGTTACATTCAGTCAAATAAAAATGTCAGTGAAACTTAATCTGTTAGCGTAAGATGAGGAAAAATAGTTAAGCTGCTCAAAGTATTAAGGACTAACAAGATAATCAGCCGGAAGAGGGAGGGAGGTGAAGCACGTAGAACAAGGAGGGCAGCGGTGAAAGGTTTCCCTGAAGGAGTAGGAGGAGGAAATGTTTTTTGCGAGGGTCAGTCCTGTTTGTGCCTCTCTGCTGTCAAAGCCTCTCCTGCAGCAGCAGACGAGGTTAAGACTTGGGAGGCCAGCCTCTCACACTGCGTCTCCCTCAGCACTGACAGCTCGCTCACACACTCACACATACATGTAGACAACAATACTCCCAACATGCACTGTCTTAAACTTTCCACTTTACCCCAGTCCTCCCACCTCCTATTTTTTTTTAATGTATCTGCCCTTCCTCTCTTTCCCCTCTTTTCCCTCTCTGTCTCTCCTTTTGCTTGAGTTTCTCTCATTGTTTTTTTGGTTCTATCTTTCTTCTTTTACTTCTCTCTCTCCCTCTCTAATTGGTCTCCGCTAGGTTAGCTTAGACAGGCCTATTCATCATAGCACAATCCTCAGAGACAAACCCTCAGGGAGCAATGGGAGGGAGATAGACGGAGTCAGACGGGAGGGCGATAGGGTCTGCCGCTTGTCAACCCACTTCTCTCCTCTTTTTTCCCTCTTTTTCCTCCTCTCCTCCCTCCCCTCGTCTCTCCGCTCGGTGCACGGATGTCAGTTTTGCAGAAAGGGGGGTGAGGGAGGTAAGGAGGGAGGGAATGTAGACACATTAGTTAGGCTATTAGTTCAACAAGCTGCTTCCATGCCTGTCAATGGTCCGACATCCGAGCACACACACACACACACACACACACACACACTGTGCTGACGTCTGACATTTGTTACATGTAGTATCTGTGTGAGAGAGTGATCATGAGTGACAGGCCGAGTGAGGGGAAAAAAACTTTACATGGAACTACGTGTCTGGTGTCCGGAACTTTAATGAGTGAGACACAGCGCATAAGCACCTTGTACAAGTCTGTACATTTATACCATTGTCACTGTGCAAATGCATCTCTGTGACTCCTGAGTGTGTGTGTGTGTGAGAGAAAATGGACACTGCTGTAAAGGCCAATGAGAAGCATGTAGAGGTTCATTGTGTGAGGTCCAAATGTCTTCCGTGATAAGGTCAAACCAGATTTTTTTCCCCCACTGTGAATGTGTCAGAGAGTTTGTCTTCATATGATGAGCCAACAGTCGGACCAGCAGAGGACCGACTCCATTTGCTTGAGCTGCACGGTGATAAAAACCTAAATGATTCAAGGTGTGTGTGGAAACGGCTGCTGTGCTATAACAAGCTAAAGTGAGATAGAAACTTTCAAGGTTGGTTTTCTCCAGCAGTTCTCAATATTTTTAGCGACGTACGGTGGCTTATAAAGTTTCCATGAATGCAACTGCAGCTCAAGTGAAAGCACAGCTACATGATGCTCAGTTGTCACAAACATTACAGAAAGCACAAAAGTCCCAGTTTATTTAATGGAGGTGCACACACAGACCTCAGAGCTTTAACAGCCGTGGAAGTTTAACTTGTTGGTTCCAGCTGCTTGTAGGAGTCTTTCCTCTGAGTTTGTTAAATACTTGCAGCGCAGTGGGAAACTCAGTATTTTACTTGTATTTACAAATGATCCCTGACATAGAGACACAATCGATCAGGATCTAATGATGCAAACAACAGCAAAAAAAAGAAACAAAAAAGAATCAGAAGTCATCCTCTTGTTGGGAAAAACTGCTTTAAGATGCAATTACATTTGATCTCAAAGCAATGAGAAACTTCAGTTACTAATAGGGGCCCATGATATTAAAATACAATTGAAGAGTTCATTTGCAAAAACAGATAACTCCATCTTCACAAACCTTCAGAAAACCCACTTTTCCATCGTCTACCTGAGACAATATCAATCAAGCTTAAGTTATCTCTATTTTTGTCTTGTCATTTCTACTCAGTCAAATCCATTTAACTTCAGTTTGATTGATATTATCTCAAGCAAACAACAACAACAAAAAATGTTTTCTAAAAATCTACAAAAATTGAGTTATCTGTTTTTACAAATGAACTCTTCAATTGTGGTTTCTTACAACTTGGGCGATGGGTAAAGTATTGTTAAGCCACAATATATGTAATCCAGCATTTTACAGAATCTTGCATTACTGACTTTCCAGGCTGATGATAGATCAAAACTATATGGTCATGTGACTACTCACATTTGTTTTGTAATATTGACCAATTCCAATCATCTTAAAGCCATTGTAGAAGAAAGAGAAGAAATGGCACCATCTATCACAAGTAAGTTGAAACAAACCAACAAATCCTCCAAATGAATGTATACATAGGAGTAATGCATGGCATTAACTAGCCTGTTGCCCATCCTCAGTAATGTTTCTGCATCTGTACACGACAAATGCACTTGAAGACGAACAGTAAAGAACAGAAAAGAAAGTAAAGACGGCACAGAGATGAGGATGCCAACACAGCAGAAATCATGAATATGCAGCATGTGTACTAGCTCAGCCCTGCTCCATCCTTTTCCTTTGTATGTTTTGTCAGATTCTCTCTTTCTTCTCCTCCTGTTTGATTCCAATCCCCTGCTCTCTCAATCCTAATACCTCTTCAGCATCTCTTCTCCTCCTCCCCTCCTCTCTCTCTCCTGCATGAGCCCCTCTTCACTAATCATCTGAGGCCCAATTATACTCAGTTGGCCCCACGCCTCCTCCCAACAGGGGCTCTGGAGGGCCAAAATGTAAGGATGCTGACTGACGTTAATTTGCATGACTTCTTGGCCTCCATAAGTACCACTGTTGTCTGTCTTCTGCCGTTGTATAGGAAGCCAGAGGAGAGGAGGAGAAAGAGAGGTAGAACATGTCAGTAGTTAGTCATGTTATGTAATCTGAAGCAATAGGAGGAGAGTAAAGAGGGCAGAGGGTGTCGCACTGCTTTCTAACTAACCAAGCACTGTCAAACCTTTGGTTTTCAAGCAGACGTTGATCTGACAGATCACACATCAGCGCTGCATCTGTCAGACTACCATTGTTGACAGTCAACATTTGGCCAAATTTTTTGTAGTCCACCGGCATAGCTTTTCAGGGGATGCAAAATGAAAGCTTCACATCCACCAGTCTGCTGCTACTTTGAAGACAATTTATTTTATGAAGTCTGGCAAAACGTCTTGGGCTCCTCTGCCAGGTAAATCGAAGTTGGATTTAAGAGGTAAATAGATCTTTCAGAATCCTATTTCTAACTAAATCAGCTTAAATATATTGCTATGTGAATGGTGCCTATTCAATTTACTTTTTCTCTCTCGGTTTATTTATTGTTATTGTAGATGCAGGGCGACCAGTTTTTGATCACTTCATTAAATGTACATTTTTAGTGATAAAGTACAATGAAACTAAAACGGCAAAAGCCCATCTATCCTTTACTTCATGAAATTATAGTTTTAATCCCTCACATACTTAAGACATTGTTTTATGGTAAACAATTGTAAAACCTGGAGCAGCGGAGGCCAAGACATATTTCATCCCTGGTACAAGTCAAGCTCCAGTAATATCAGATCCTCCAATTTAGCATCTTGCTAAATGCTGAAATCTTTTAAAGTCAATGCCACCAAGTGTTTTTAGATGCAAAAGATATTGTGAGGGAACACAAAAGTTTATGTGAAGTAACAAGTAAAGAAACCTAAAAGCAGATATGAAAGAAAAACCCACATTGTTCCATCAGGTGCTTTATAAATCCTGGTTGTCCTCTGGGTCCACGGCTCACTTCTGCCCTGGAGCTCCCCAGCAGGTTAGTGGAGCCCTGATGGCTGCAATAAAACACTGATTGTTCGCTTTCACCATATGATGCATTCTTACACAACCTTACAGGGCTGCGTTTATTTGGCCTGAACCCAAAACAAGTACAGATACACACATTCACACACACACACAAAAGTGCTGTTTGCTGCTCTGGTGTCCTGGGCAGGCACCCAATCTGCGGACAGCCTGGCCTGTGTCTCAAGCTGGGTATGTGCTGTTTTCTGTGTGTGTGGCGTGTTGTCGCCATGTCATGGCTTGTGTCCTATTATCACCCCTCTCCCCCTTCTTCCTCCCCACCTCCACACACACACACACACACCTACACACCTACACACACACATACACACACACACACACACACCTCTGCCCCCTCCTGGACTCGGCCAGCAGCCAAGACTGCAGCACTGGGACTCTCCATTCAGAGTGGTGGGGTGAGAAGAAGGAGGAGGGGTGAGATGAGATGTGTGTTCGCGGGATGAAAGCAGCGCTGCGGGGTCACACAGAGACACAAATAACCAGCAGCTCTGTCAGCAACAACCCCGACTGTCCAGACTGAGGCTGGATCTACAGGAATGTGGCATTCGCACAAGAAAGGAGTGTGTGTGTGTGTATGTGTGTCCTGAAAAACTTGTAAATGTGCAGCTAGGCACTCACACAGAAGCTTTAACTTCCAAAAAATTATTTTTTATTCTGAAGGACCAATAAAATTATGGCAAATATTTACAAATAATTACTTCTTAGTTTCACATTACAGGTACATAAATGGAATAATTCACCAACAACAGTCACTCAGGTGGACAGATGGACAGGTACACAGACTGAGTATGAAGAGATGCATCAAGCAAACTGCAATTTAATATTTCACAGTAAAATCAAAGCCAGGAAATAAAATAACAATAATATTAACAATAGAAATATAAAAAATAAGCATAATATCAAATTCACCATTTATTTCCAGTTTTTCTGAACAAAACCGATCACAATTCAGGAACAACTGAACAAAGAAAAAAAAAGATAAAAGAGGAAAAATCAAGTGATATGATATCTTTGGCAAATTCGCACTGCAGTAAAATACATTCAAATATTAAGACAACACACAACACACAAAGAGAAAAAACACCAAGTTTTGTTTGCAACTACTAGAAAATTGAATAAAAAACATACACATTTTCTTAAAGAAGCATTTCTTTTACTTTTTTTTTTAAAATCCTCCCCTCCAGAATATTTGAAGGCATTTCTTATCTTCATTTTGTGTTTGTATCTGTAAGTCTTTTCTGCTATTTTATATGTTTTTTTTTTGTACAAGAATCTATCATTTAAAACAGGCATCACAGGCTTTGGTGAATGTTACAGATATGTCTTCTTTTCGTCGCGTTTTGATTTTGAAGAATAGAACAAGCAGAATTGTTTGAATCGAATTTATTCTTTGCATTCTGGTGTATTTCTGTCATTTGTCTGTTCGTTTTTTCATTATTTTTTTTTTACCAAAACGTCACAGATATAAATATCTCTTTAACACCCCAGATAGGAAGCCATGGACACAAAAAAAACTCCAGATTGTTACACGAAAGGCCACAGTAAGGTGAAAAATCATGTATCTATTTTTTTCAGTTTTTTTTGATTGAAACATCTGCTTAAAAAGCACAGTCGATTTTTGTAGGCTGAGTCGTGTGTATTACTCCTCTTCCACAGTTGAATAATATTAAGATGTACAGAACATTGTAACACTTCAGTATGAGATCTGTCCAGAGCCTAGTTATATCAGCAAGCATGAAACAGATTGTGCCACTAATTGCTGTCAAGATGTGATGCTGAATTCCCCTCAGGTTTTAGGAAGGCAGTAGCCATCTTCATGGATTCATATTGAGATACAGTCAGGCAGTGCACACTCGGTGAGAAATCATAATAAAGAAAAAAAAACTCATTTGCATTTATTTCAGATTCCTATTTGACTTGGAGCTGGGATCAAAATTCAGGATGCAATTTATTTTCATGGACAGTAAACTGCAGAAGTGCTGGAAATGAAATGTCTTTGTCTGAAACTAGTGTTTCTTTGTGTTTTTAAATGCTCTATAGCTACTTGAAAAAAGAGAATGCAAGAAAACAGAATATGAGATGCGATCTCACAGAATGTTCTTGACCAAATGAAGATACCGACAGCAATATTGCCATTGAAATGACCTCGCTTTGGCACAAAACACCCTGTTTCATTCCTATGCAGAATTTCTGACAGGACAGCGAGCATCACGTCTGAATAGTCAGAGAGAAAAGTAAGAAAGGAGAGAAAAAAAAAGGATTAATGGGGCCGTCTGAAGAAAGACGGAGGACTTTTTGAGGAAGGTCACAGGCCTGAAATCAACAGAATAGTTTTAATATTCCTAATCCTGGCCGTGTGGCAGTGCTACAGGAGGAGAAGGAGAAGAGAGACGGGGGAAGACGAGTGCATGAGATATGATGAGATTAGGGCCGAGGGAGGGGGAGAGAAGAGACGGGATGAGCTTCTGATGGCACAGCAGGTTTGGCCTCCCCTGGGGAACGCAGGGGCATAAGAGGAGGGGCGATCACCACTTCGCAAAGGACAAAGGGAGGGAAGTGAGTGTGTGTACTTATATTTATGTGTGTGGCCTCTGCCCGCCGTCGCTTTCTACAGTACCACCCACAATGACAAGCCCCCCCTCATCACCGCCGTCAATGTCACAGCTGCCAATCGAAACGGCTGCAGGCCATTGAGATTCATTCTCTCCCCATGCGAACCAGTCAGGTCAAAGCAATGGCAAGGCAAGCTGTGTCACTATGTGATGCATAGTTAACAAATAATCTTGTTAATGTATCACTGAATTCTTGGCTACACCCGGTAACGGGCGTCGAGTTTGGCCTGTTTGATGTCGCTGCTTCATGTGAGTGGACACAGGAGGCACGACTGGATTTACCTCCTCAAGGAGAACGACTTTCAATCAATATTTTGTCATGCTTATAGTAGTGTGTGTGTGTGTGTGTGTTGGTTTCTGGAACAAAGGGGGTGATTCATTAATAAGTTGCTTGGTTGTTGAAAAAAAAAGAAAACAGTATTAATGAACAGACTCTACAGATGTCTGTCACTCACTTGGCTATTTTTTCTGTATTTTGTGCCTTTTTTCAGTGTTCACTCCTTTTCAAGCCGGTTGGTCCTGTTTAACCCTGATGCATGTATTATGACCATGCATGGATGTCTCCCTGAATTTAGACATTTCAGTCACAGAGGTGCTCCTAACAATTGTTATGAGGAGAAAATATGCACTCGTTGGATAGTTGGATCTTTTTAGTCTTAAAACTGGAAAATGTCACATAGATGTTAAATAAAGAAACAGTGAAATACTGAGTTTCTGTTTTCTAACTACGTATCTTGTGTTTCATTGTTAATCCATTAACTTGAACTGTCCATTTTAAGTTGGACATAGGCCTTCTTGGTTGTTTTAGTGAATGGTTCTGAAGATCTAGAAACAATGTCTTTACAACATTTACCATCTAACAGGGATGTGCTTGCATGCTTGCCCTACAATTATGGGGGAAAAAAAGTATTTTGCACAGAAGAGCTCCCTTTGACACTATTTTGCAAGGGCACTGTTGCTGCATCCTGGGCTTAGTACGGCCCAAGAGTAATATTTAAAGTTTTTTTTTTCTGTATAGCAGAATGATGATTGGTCCAAAAGGTCCAGCTGTGCAATTTTTAGATTATAGTAGTTAGCAGAACAATAACAATACTAGTTGCTGTACTGAGTGTTCTCCTACTGGGCATCACGACTGAAGAAGTCTTATATTAACTCTATAAAAACAGACCTTTCTTGAAATATATTCTGTTTTTGTTGCTGTAGCTATCTGCTAAACTCGCAGACTGCTGATAAGATGTTTTTACCTGCTCATGTGTTTGCTTTTCTTACGGCAGATCTGTGACCGAAAAATTCAAGTTCTGGGAGATTTCAGGACTATGATGGCGTTAGATCGGTGTTCTGTTATCAGAGCTGCAGTGTTACTGTCGATGCATCGAAGGAAATCTGATATTGGTACTAAAATTACTGTTTGTTACTTTTTTGTGAAAGGTTTTATATAATCTACAACCCTGTGTTTGCATGGGCATATAATCAGAGTTTTATTAAAGGAGTTGCAGGGAGGGTTGCTGAATCTCGTTTTAGTGACTCGTGGTCAGTCAGGGGGATGTTGACATATAAAACTAAAGGCACTGTCCTTGTTTTCAGCTGGTGTGGTTCAGGTTCAATAATGCCTCAGAAGGATCAAGAGAAAAAGACAGAAATAAGGAAGGGCTCCCGCTGCGGTGCACACTGGCAGCACAGCAGGTGAGCCGTCATAAGAATCTTCTTTAGAGTTGTGTATGCACAACTTTTAAGGTCTACAAATGTAAAAGGATCCACTCTATTACTATTTCAAAAAATCCAGAAACAACAAAGATTGAGAAACTAACAGCTTTGTTCAGTGTTCATAGTTATAGTATGTTTATATAGCTATATTTTATGTCTCACACTGCAGATTTGGTGCCTCCAATCTGTTAGCTAGTAAAAACTACATAGTAGCAATGAAGCGCTACAGTCAGCCACGCATATCCCAAACAAATGAACAAAAGAACAAAAGATGTGTAAACACTCGCAGACAATGGCTAAAACAACACCACGCACCTTTAATGTCTTTTCATCGTAACGAAAGCTTCATCACTAAAATCTAAATTCAAATGTGAATAATTGAAATTGCTATTGACATTGTGACTTCTCTGCTCTTTCACTGATTACTGTACAAGACTTGTATGGACAAAATTGAAACAGGAAGCTACGTACAGGTTTAGGAAGACATTGCCCTCTCAGGAGATCAACATCGTGGGCCCTCAGATACTCGGGAGGGAAAACACACTGATTTCAGATCAGTGCTGAAGGGCAAATCTGTCCTACTCTGTCTGTACATGATGGGTAAGGCCTCGACCCTGGTGTCATGCATTGTCACAGCGCAGAACTGATGTAGGAGACAAAACAAAACAAATGAAAACGTTCACTTTTTTTTTTTTTCACGAAAGCAATGCTTTTATAGAAACAATTTCAGGATGTCAAATAGCACAAGGACACTAACTCAGAAAGGGGAGAATAATAAGAAGTACTTCATGGTTCAGAAAAGAAGTCAGAAAAAGTATAATGGCGCCTTTAAATGATGATTGAGTCTCTTTGTGCTTTTGTAGTTAGTCAGCCGATCCACTAGGGGGGGCCCATCTTTGGGGAGTTTAAAGAGAGAAATAGAAAGAGCGAGAGAAAGAGAGAGAAAGAGAGGGTGCCACCACTTCCCGGTTCTTCTTTTGAATAGTCGGAAGCAGCTAAAAATGGCGTCTTATTAAATGGCACCTGTGTCAACTGATACCAGGAAACAAACTATAAACAAGAAAATTGCAATCTGATCACATTTATAAACAAAGACTTCTTCTTATATTGAAAGTTTATCAGATTTCATAGTTCACTGCATCTTCATCATCATCATCATCACTATTCTAGCACAACAGCGTGACACTATTATAAATCATTACAGGCATTCACTCTCACCACGGAGTGCAGCGCAGAAAAGCTTCTTAATATATTACTCTGTCTCCTCCATTATAAATAGCTCTTGAACAGCACTAAATCTTGGCTGGGGAGGCAGGATAGCACCTTCCTGAACAGTAACATAACCTGGTGGAGTTGATTTTGGTTTTACGTGAACATGTACACTGTTGTTTTTACAGCAGAGAGCTCATATTTTAGGCTGTGCTTCACTGAAAGGTCTGTCTGATGATCAGCAGTATTCACACCACTTCAGATGTAAGTGTGGATGTGAAGCATGGATGTATTAGGAGAGCTGGATGTGGCGCTGCCAGTCAGCGTTGCTGCCAATTTCTCCCAGTGGTCACTTGCATTGTTGCAACTAAAAAAAAAAACCTCTGCAGCCCAAAATGTAAGGCTGCATTCCAAATCACATACATTTTCTTTTAAGCACGTAATGTAGCTGCCTTTACAAAGTACGTACCGTTTTGTGCAGTATGCATATGGCTGCGACATGATACTTTACCATACTATTGCACCTTAAACTTTGACAGTCGCAATCTGTTGTATGAAATAAAATGTTATCTGTCTGTGTGCTCTGGGCGGCTCAAGCTTGTTTGTACTTGTGCAAGAGATTATGAATTAGATCATACTAAATCTTAAATAAATTCTTGGTCTACTACATAGTATGGATATTGGAACACACTTAATTTTTCCCGTAGCCCACCATTATAAAAGACATGTCTGTAAACAGGGCATCTCTAATCCAGTTACCAACAAGGTTGGGTTTTATGTTTTCTGTAATGAATCTAGGACTTTTATAGTTGTAAAAATCTCTCCTGTGCCTTGAAAAATTAGTTTTAATTTCAGGATGGCTTCATTATGTAAAGTTTATGAGCAGAGTAGGGAGCTGTGGGCAGGGCCATTGAATTATACAGACTTTATTGGCACATGCACGAGGCACCAGCTTTGGTATCCAGTATCCCTCCCTCCCTAATACATCCATGATGTGAGGATACAGTTTTCCTAATTGGGAAATCACATTTAACCACTAAAATTAGCTGTTCGCTAAACCCCACCCCTGAACAGCAATGATACAATCATGGCTTTGCAACCATAATTAGATATGATAGGACAGTTAAGCTTTGGATTTCTCCACTTGCTTCTGTGGTGTGCTGTAAAAGGAATGTCACACAGCACTGAAAGAGTTTGGATGGTGGCCTTATCTTCTAGCTGTTTTCAAATCAAAAATAGTAAAGCAACAGCAGAAGAAATGTATCTGCACTCAAGACAGTTGCCAATGTTAGCATGTCTGGTTGATTAGCCTACTACCTACAGTCAACTATTAAATGAGTTTGTAGTTGGAGGTTATATTTTTTAAAAGCCTTTTTGATTCAGTAGTACTGTGTATTGTATCATGTGAGAACTGTTTCTAATTGGATTTGGGTAAGTTTTCAGTTTACTCACCAAGTTGATTTTACCCATTTGAAATCAAGGATCTGTTGCTTTAAAACAAGTTCAGGAATTCACTACATTTATGTTTCGCAAGAATGGAAAGTGTGACAGTTACAACAACCCGGGGCAGAGCATAGCGAACACTGACACTGAACGCTCCCATTAAAACGAGGGTATCCCTTTAATTAAACATTGTGATCCCAGAGGAAATGTGTTGAATCTACAGCAAAGAGAACAGAGTGATAGTGATATGGGTGATTTTGGTCATTCACAGTTGTGAGGATTGGATTGTCTTTACTTTACTGTAGCATGGCATAGAAAACTGATTAATGTCGGGTCATAAAAATACTGGTTGAAAAAGTGATTTTGCCTTAACCAGCTCAAATGATTTAAAGAAAAATAACCTGAAAACACAACATTTTACTCAGAAGATCACAATACAGAGAGTTTTAATGCTGTACACACCATCTACTTCCTTCTTGGGTTTATTGATGAAAAAACAAGCTAGGGATACCAAGCCTTGATATATTATGGGAGGGTCCAAATTTCCAAAATGTACCTGTCTACAACATCGGTCCTATATCCTCACAATAACGTACACCCATACAGTATTGTGCTCCAGCCCAGGAGTGTGTTTGTTGGTACCAACAGAGAAAATTAAAACTTCACTGAGGTCAAAGATTTGAGATCTTTTCCTCATTGTAGTCTGTGCGCAGGCAAGTTTGTACTGAGCAGTGCTGGTGCTATCCATCCCTCCCTCCCTCCCTCCCTCGTCTCCCGCTCCTCACCCTCCTCTTCTCTCTGCAGGAGGGGTCAGTGGCGGTCGTAGGCGGAGGCTGTGGCAGTGGCAGCAGGGCCGGCCCCCCGAGATGTTGCGCTGTAGTAGTATGGTGACCCTGGGAGGAAACACAGACCCACATTTTTTCAACGCTCCTAAAAGAGACTCAGCAAAAACTGAATATAGAATTTAGAAAAAAGTTAAATGAGAATTCCAGTTGATTACAGGTTTTTTGTCCTCATTTCTATTAGTTGTGGTTTGCTGTCTATCAGGCGGCAGCATTTGGGAACAAGGTGACTAGCTACAATGAAGTTAAATTCGATTACTAAACCCTGCATTTTGGTACACTTCAAAAGCAACAATACTGATGTATTAATTGACAAATGTTTTAGCAGACATTTGCCTTTAAATAAAATAAAATAAAATCCAGACGATACGATACATTAGCATTCATTTGGAGTCATGTTTCTGGCCACATGATCAATGTAAGTCAAATATTATCTCTCTTGTTAGCTCTGTATTTTGTCTCTACCAACTCTTGAGTAACTCTTTAGCTGCTAAACATGCCACTGTGTCCACCAGCAAAAATAAGCTGCTGTCTTCATTCAAATGTTTTGCATTTTTTCATTTTGAGGATTTTTAGGTCACAAAGTGTTTGATGAAACTGGTATTTCACAAGAACTGAGAATATGACTTACACAGTCATTTGATCCATTGTTACATATATTTAAAAAAAAATATTAATTAGCAGCTTTTAAACCATTAATCGGGGGCAAAACTGAAAGTGAGAGCAGCAACAATGTACGCAATAATCTCTCACTGGACAGGAAAAGAACTTTCTCTTCCAAGTAAGTTTGACTAATCTGGAAATTTGCTTAAAAAACCGTATGATTGTCTTGTGCTTCTGCTCATTTCTTTTTCCAGTGGACTTCTGTCGCAATGTCATCGCGTTGGCAGATCTCGGCAATTAACTTGGTGAGGGTCTTTTTTTATTACAGATAGGAACGATGGTTAAAATGACAAAAATATGACTCGGGTTGTAATAAATCTGAATTCTCCTTTGACAACTTGTACTTAAATACAGTGCAAATGTGGAATGAGCAGCTCCAATTTTCTGTTAAGATTATATTTTACTTTGAATGTGAAAGGCAAGGATGAGATGACATGAGCTGATGAAGCTAATGACAGAAAAAATAGTCTCTCTTTCATGTACAACCAATAAAATTAACTCGGTCTGACTCTTTCAGCGTCGCCCTCCTCTCTCCCTCTCACACACTGGCACACACTATCTAAGTGACAGTCTAAGCTGACACACTGAGTACAGCTCTACTACTACTGATCCCTTGAGTCTATTCTCTCCCCGGGGAAGAGGTCAATTCAATACTGTAACCCCAAAGACACACAGAAACCCACACTTGCACACCTTAATACACACAGGGAAAAAAAAAAAAAATCTCCTACACACACACACACCTGTCTCTGTCACTTCCATCAATCAGCCTTGCTGTGTGTTGACAGGTTATGTCTGTCCACAGTCCAGGTAATCTCAGGAGCCTCTTTGGGGAAGTGAGGCATTAAGCCGACCTGACAAACTATTTAGTCTCACTCAAGACTTCAGAAGCCCTCTCTCCCCTTTTGCCTCTTTTTTAAACTCCTCTTTCTTTCATTTGTCACCTCTTTCCTCATCCTTCCCTCTGTATCACAGCCTCTTCCTTCCCCTGTCATCAATCTTAAGCATTCCAGTGTCTCCTAATGTGCATCTTGTCCTCATATTATGTGTCCACTCATCCGTTATACTAAAGGTCCTTTACAGTCTCCTCTTCTTCCTCCATTTTCCTCTTTTTGTGCTCTACCACAATCTTTTCTCATCATTACATCTTCCTCCTTCTGTGCAGATGCCTGGACCCTCACACATGCTCCATCACTTGCTTTGTCTTCCTCTTTCTCTCTCCACCTACCTTGCATCTGTCCTGCCTGGCTGGTGAAGAGACTGGAGGAGCAGCCGATTTCCGTCCCCAGGAGAGACCCATAATCCTGCTGAAACACTGGGGACAGAGGGATGGAGGAAAGGAAGGGAGAAGGAGAGGTGAGGAGAGGGTGGGGGTACACTACAGGTCATCACAGCCTGACCCCTCTCACCTATTGACCTTTTACACCGTCACCCCTCTGACCGCATCACCTTTAAATATGACCCCTGAAATGGCTCCCTAGACAGTGACTTTGACACTGACTGTTTTTGGCTCAGGCTTAATTTCTCCTCTTAAACACTGATGTGGAGACGTGATGATAGACTTGGGATGTCTTTCAGGATAACATTTACATGTGTGGTTATAGGAGGGTATAGGTGTTTTTCAGCCTGTCAAGAAAGTGCAAATGGCTCCTTAAAGGGGTTGTGATCGATGGATTTTGACGTCAGTCGGTAGGACAAGGAAGCGGTATTGATACACTGACATTAACTGAGTCTATTATTATTGTAAAAAAAAAAAAAAAAAAAAAAAAGATCTCCTACTTAACACCGCATCATGATGTACAGAATGTAATTGTCAATCAGGGTATGAATGGAGAAAATAATCAAATGTGTCTTTTTGTTTACAGTTATAAGCTAATAAATTAAACACCTAACAAACAAGATATTTTATCACAGTGATGCAAAAATCCTATACATATCTAGAAAGCTGTCCTCCTTGTGATTTCCACCAAGATCTGTGTGTGTGTGTGTATATATATATACATACATATAAAAACAGGTTTCCAACATTTTGATGATAAAATATCAGAGGGTACATATTGTCATGTTGGCCATCCTTAACACCAAAGTAGAAGAAACATTTTCAGCCCCAAATTCAGCATAAAAAATCCCAAAGAAGACTCTCTCACTTCTCTCTGAAAAGATGAATGAGCAGTGGATGTTTTTTGTTTTTTTCTTTACCTTTGCTGGTTTGGCAAGCCATTATAGAAAAGCCAGTTTAAATGACCCAATGAACCTATGTAATATACATTTATGGATGTGTCATGTCACAGCCAATTAAAGTTAATTTCTTGTGTGTTAACTGTTAATGTAAGGGTGATTGCACGAGACATGAAACAATAGGTGATTGGAGTCAGTGTGCTTCACAGCAGCTACATGACAAAGTTCCACAAATCCTAAAATGCTGACTCCTGTTCTGTTCTTTCCTCACTCGCTGCATCTTTCTGTCCTCCTCTTTCCTCTCAGATGGAGACACAGTCATGTTGAAACTTTATGTTTGCACAATAATAAGCTGTGAATGAATCAGTGTGCTCCAACCCTGTTTTTCTACTCTGTAAATTTGCTATTCTTGAGGTGAGAAAGACTGTTTCAACTGTATTAGAAGATACACACATAACCCGGTTTCTACGAGATTCATTCACACCCAGATCGCCAAAAAAATCCCTCCACAGAAACACAACCATGTCTATGCTGTAGTGTATTGTGTGGTACAACACAGAATGAAATGCAAAGACACGGAAAAAAAAAAAAGAACAGTGGAGCATGAAAGATACAAGACAGCATTAGAGAGACTTGAACTGGGATGTGAAGTAGAATGAAATGAAATTCATCGATACAATTATTGATCCAGTTCTGGTTAGCAGAGCTGGCTACGGCCATATGGGATACACTTACCTAATAGGCTGGGGTTAGGAAATCTCCAGGATTCATTGTACGTGGAATACTGCGGATGGGAATATGGACTTCCAGAAAAATCTCCCCCTGAAAGAAAACACAAAACAAGAAACAGAGTGTGTTTAATAACAGCCAAGAGGATGAATCTGTCCGTTATACATTTTGGGTTTCAGCAAAATGCAGTCTTTGCTGAGAACAATTGAGCTGTGGCTAGCCTAGTTTAGGATATATGCTTACAGGAACAAAAGGACACCAGGTTATTGATATTTCTTTTGAGAGCCCGACCCTGTCCTTGGGTGTAAAACATTTAATTTTTGCATCTTGGGTAATGAATATTTCAATGAATATTTTAAGTTTTAAAGAAACATTTTTTTATGCACCTGTGCATGTGAAACACAATGATCATATGCCTAAATCAAGTTAAATATCCAAGTTTCTTTCAACTTATATTCTTACAAACTCTAATAAGGACTTGTCCAGGTTTCAGAAACCACAACGACGCAAACATGATACATGTATACAAACACCAACCATTGGCAGTAAATCCCAACTAAGTGTTACGTGAAGCTTTAACCTAGCCCTTGTTTTCAGCAGAACGGTTTGCAGACTAGTTGATAGTGACTGAACTGGAGAGCTCAGCGAGACTGCAGTGGTCCTGCCATACAGTGGATGATAGCGTAGCTTTTCTCCCTCATTTACTACTTACTGTCTGGGGTCTACTCTTCCTCTTGTCTTCCCCTCCCAGTCTCCCCTTCACCCCTTCCTCTTTATTTTTCTCTCTCACCCCCGACTACAGCCCGCCCGTCACCCTTCACATCAAAACAACATTCTCCTCCATTTCTTCTCCTCTTTTTTTTACCTCCCCTCCCCATCTCTGCTGACTTGCTCTCTTTTTTCACTCTTTTGCTCTTTCTTTCTTTTCTCCTGAACCTTCATTCCTCCCAGGGGATCCCTCTCCCATAGCTGACAGTCACAGACCCTGATGCCCCCTCCCTCCTTCCAGCCTCCCCCACCACCCACCACCCGTTCCTCCTCTCTCCTTCTCGTTCTGTCGGTTCTGCCTCACTGCTCTCCTACACCCCCTCTGAGTGTCAGCCCCCCTGCTGCAGAGAGAAAGACAGAGAGACAGAGAGGGAGAGGGAAGGAGAACAGGAGAAGAGAGTTGCTTGCTTAATGAAGGTATGATATTAGACAGAGCGAACAAAAAGGAGGATAATTTGCCTGAGAAGTGCTGAGATAAAACAAGGCGAAGCTAGAGAAGCAAAGTTTCTAGATTATCTTCTCTACGCTCATTCTAGTCAGCTCGTGGATTCGAGGCAGCTTTGGAAATACCCTGAGAAAAATTTTAATGTCATCGCTGTTTGTGTGTGTACAAAACAAGTTTTCTTTGTGCAAGTGTGTGTGTGCTTATATATGTGTGTGTGTTTGTGTGTGTTTTGCTGCGTCTGTCAGGTGGGGTCGGGATGTGGTCTCCATGGCATCCCTGGGTGCGAACATCCTCTCCCTTGTCATCACTGTAGTGACGGCAATGTGTCAGGTTGTTTAGGAGACGAGGGGCGGAGGGGAGAGAGGAGGGAAACGAAGGCTCAGGGGTCTCCCTTGTGTAGCTCAGTGTCAAGGTCGCACACACACACTGTCAAAAACAAACACACATGCACACAAACAATCGCATGCCAGCACACACAAACATACACCAGCCCAAACACACACACATACACACAAATATGCTGTCAAACCTGAGGACAGGATGGGGTGAGCGCAGGGGGATGGGGCGACAGGGTTACCTATCTTTAGACGTGCTGTTCCTACATGTCCACCGAGAGTGTGTTTGTGTGTATGTGTGTGTGTCACAGCCTGAATGATTGGGAATATGAAGAGACAGCAACTTGTAAACAATATTTGTTTGGCAACTTTGTTACTCTGGCATTTGGGCTTCTCCCTTTATTTCTCCGCAGTATACTTCCCGCTGACCACGAGCACCGCTGCAAGTGTCTGAGAGAGAGCGAGAGAACGGCGGTCCAGGATTGAAACACAAAAGCGTTGTAGAAGGCGGAGTGGAAGGGAATGAATGAATTAGTCGTGGGTCACTGGTGATTCTCATTAAAAACAAATTACTAATGTTGAGGAGGGACAGCTGTGCTACTGTGGCTGGTTTCTAATGACACACAGAGACACACACACACATACAACACAGGCACAAACACACATATGTGCACACAGATACATACACACACACACACACACACCACCCCCTGGGAGCACTGACAGCCATAGTGTAGACAGACAAGAGAGAGGAAGTGGTAATGCTAAGCACACCCCTTGAAGACACACACACACTCCACACATACATCCATAAGGAATTCAACAGATATGTAAGTACATATCTGTTGTCATTATGAGCGCTGAAAGACAAAAGAATCACCTCAAAGGAAAGTCAGACACAATTTGAGCCAGTGTGTAGATCACTCATGTTGTGGGACCTGAAATCTGTGTATAAAGTCTCACTGTGGCTTTTAAAGTTCACATAACACAAAGAAATTCATTTTAGCGTTAAGATTTGGTTTAAGGTTAAGACAAGCAACAGTTATGATTAGGGTGTAGTTAAGTCTCCATAAAATGAGTATAAGTCAATGTAATGCAATCTAAGGTGATGGAAATGTGCGAATGTGTGTGTGTGTGTGTGCATACACTCACCAGGTACCATGCCAGTGAGGGAGGGAGTGGAGTAGCTGCCCTGTCCAGTGGGAGGAACATGAGGAGGGTAGCCTGGCAGAGTAGTGCTGGCTAGGTCTCGACCTGTGAACACAGAAACACACACTGTCATCAGCATTTTACTACCATCAATATTATCCTCAGTATCATCCTTGTCATCTGTACCAGTCTGTGCCATTATTGGGTGTTTGTAATTGTTATTGTCGGGTATTTCATATTTTTTATTCGTCCCTTGTTGCATACTTTTAGCACTAACTAGAACAAATTCAGTGGCACATCAAGTTCCCATAGTCCAAGCTAATGTTAAAATGAATGGCCTCTCCATTTTGTATTACAGAGTTGGTTGGTCAACACTTGTATCTTTTCTTCTACAATCCCCTTATTGGACTTTCACTATCTTGGATAACATCTATGCTGAATTGAACCACAATACTTTACTAGACTTCTCCTAACGTCTTGTTCTTCAAGTATTGCAAGTTTATTCTGAACTTGTAAAATCTGCCTTTTATGCATCAAACCTATTAATTATCTAAAACAAATACTCAAAATCGACCTTCTCACAACCAATGGACAATTCGGGATGACAGTTTCAAGCCAGTTCACCTCAGTGTGCAGCTGTTTTCAGTGAGTTTTAGTCTTATGAATTTTGAACTTTGCATTTTCCTTTAAATCTTGATATCATTGGAAATGATTGAAACCTGAACGATTTCAGAGGCTTGTATATAGTTTTGTCCAACCAGAACGTCCAAAGCTAAAGAAATTTCACTTTCCTGTCATATAAAGTAAGAAAACCAGAAAATATTCACATTTGAAAACCCTACTCCACAAACATTGGTTGCTATACAACTAAAATGCAATTTCTTTAGGTTTTGAAGGAACAGGCTATGGTGTTGTAGGAAAGGTTTTCAGTTTGAAAGAGCCACAAAGTTATTGTAAGGAAGTAGGAGAGGAGGATAGAGGCATGATGACTTTCACCCAAGAGACTGGTTCTTTGGTTAGGTTTGGCCACCAAAACTAGTTAAAACTAGATTATGGAAATATTTGATCAGTTTGATCGAAACGTGTCTCAGAACAACCAAAAGAGCTGGACAGATAGTCTCTTCACTCAGAGAAACAAAGTTACAATGTAATCATATGGTATCTATGGTATCTATCAACTCGAGACTATCTCACCACCCAGTTACATATTTCATATGTATGCAGTAACCCTGTGAGGAGACGATGCACCCCAAACAACCTGTATTTGACAAACAAACCAGGTGGAGGCCCTGCACAACGCAAAGACCAGGCCTTAGAGGCAGAAGGGCTGCTTAGACCAGTCCAAAAGGTGCAAAACTGACCCCAGGAACGCCGTTAAAGGCCAAGCTGAAATGGCCAAACCTATGGTTCTTTCCCACCGTTGCCAACCGCTTGCTCAAAGGAAGTCCAGAGGCAACTTTGGATTGTTGGTTTCTCTGTTTAAATTTGCAAGGTCTATACTTTACTTCGTCAAGCACTGTGTGATAATGTGTTATAAACTGCGCTATACAAATAAAATTGAATTGATTTGAGATACTGCAGACTGAGATGATTATGTGTCTGCTGCACATATGGCAATGAGAGAGGCTCCCTGCCACAGGGCCCATGTTGTAGCCACTCCACGAGGTGAGTGTGCTCAGACCCAGGATGTGACTGCCACACCGCCACACCTGGGTAAACACATATTTGCTGATTGGTGTCCACAATCCAGCAGGATGGCTGAGACTTTAACAAGGACCTGCCCAAACTGCCGGAGTCAAAGCAGACAAAGAGCTGGTCAGTGGTTATGGCCACCAGAAATGCAGTTCTAAAGAAAACCCATTTCAGATCTGCAACCAGAGTCAAAAGAGGGGGATTCTGAAGAACATTATGGACTATGCCCAAGTGTGTCGTCACTACACTTCACAGGGTAGTGGCAGACTTCCCTGTCTCCAGTTAAGACAGTACAAACAGCTACTTAACCCCAGAGGAGGGAGTCACCACTCAGCGTAGAGTGGAGTCCCGCTTGACATGACTTCTGCTGCCATGTTCAGAGTTTTCAGCACACGTATGACTCTGAGTAAGCAGAAGAATGGGTAAACCCTCTGCCACAGTGTGGTTGCAAGCCTGCCAATTGATAGGCAAAAGGGGCCCTAACATCCCTAACCCTAACATGAAGGGCCATCTGAAGCTCATTCACCATACTTAAACCCCCAGAACCCTTCCAGCACCTGACGTTACAGGTGATGAAGGTAGAGGGACACAATGGGCTCCAGTGTTAGCCAGATTGGGCCTGCATAGCCTTAGCTCTGTTTCGCCTTGCAAGCAGACCATCCATAACCCTACAATGCCTGCTAGAGCAGGTGGCTGTGCACAGAATGGAGTTGCTGGTGCATTAACTTGTTTACACACCAAGTCTCAAAAGTCAGACAGGAGAAACACCTGTGCTGGTGAGGAGGCACAAGGGGCTCCACAAGGTTTTCAGGGAGGGCGACACCCAGAACACTGGTTGCTCTGCCAATAACCTCCTCAAAACTGCTGCCCACAGAATAGGTCATTCTCTGTGGAAGAGAGGACACTCTCTACAAACACATCCTCCTCCTCTTCTTCTTCTTCTTCCTCCTCCGCCACTGCCACCGCTGGAGTGGGAGTAGGAAGGGAGCAAGTATGAAGCTGGACTGCTGTGGGCTCCACACTGGCACTGGACTGGGTGCCTTGCCAAGACCCTGAACCCTGACCCTTTGACTTTAGTGACCGCCATCGTCTTTTCCATTTTTGCATACGACAGTGAAAAAGGGCAACCTGTGCACTGTATAATGCACGCACTATAAAACAGTCCTTGCAAGATTGTGGGCTCTCTATGGATAATAGTGCATGTTAGTGACGAGGGTGACCATATTTTGATTACTAAAGACCAGGACACTTGGCCTGGCAATGAGATACTCAAATGATACTCTAAGTTTACTCAAAGATGCCTTATAATTTCAATACCTTTAAAATATGCCTCCTCCAGGACAGGACCAGGACATTTTCATCACTTTATAAAAAAACAACCAGGATGGCCAGGACACGATGTGAAAACAGGGCAAGTCCTGGGAAAACAGGATGTTTGATGACCCAAACACAGCACACACCTAAGTCATTCTCAAAGGTATGGATCCTCCCCGATCCACACAAGATTGTCTCTGGTGGCTTGCCATAGTTGATAAACCACACCATCACCCCCTTTCCAGGGGGCGAGGCCTGGCAGTAACGCGGAAGTGCTCCATTCCTTGTTGACTTATGGCGCAACTTGCCAAAGCCAAGGAGGCGATCTTGAACACACAGATCCGCGATTGCCGGGACATGTTAGCGGAGACAGATCAAGAGAGGAGACATCCACCGTTAAAATCTGCGCTCAACACGAACCACCACTGAATGGGTTAACTTCGCACCGCAGCATTACGCTCCAGCAGCATCCAGGTGTCCGCAGAGAGATGCCGACACGTCCGGAGAAAAGTTTCCTCACCTGCTCGTTATCTAAACGGGAGGTCTGCGCTCAGCACGGATCTCACCGAGCTCAAAAACCGCGAGCAATACTCTGGTAAAGAATCCGAGTCGTGATGAAGGCCGGATGGTGTCTGGACTGGAACTGAGATTTTTCCCGCTTTTAGCTGACGTTAAATCTGCGTGTTTAGCAGGATCCACCGAGCTTGTCAACTGACGAACCGCGAGCAATCCGCGGGTATTTAGGATTACATTTATAGGAGCTGCAGAGACAAAGGAGTACATCTAACGTAATCTGACCAGAGAACAAGCAATCCAGGGAGGCTGGCCGCAGACAGACGCCCAAAACACAACAGGTAAGCAGATATATGCTGTAACTCACACATACATACAGAAGTGGCAGTCAAGAAACTAAATAATTAGATTTGCTGTTTTGAGAAGTATTCGTCAAAAACAAACTGAATCCTGCTGAAAATCTCCCTCAACGCATCATTAACAGTTCAGTTTAGTTGTAGGAACATTCTTTTGTGGAGACTGGGTTGCATTTGAGAGGCTACAACTCGTGGATTTTTTTAGTTTGTGTGTAAAGAAAAAAAACCAAACAAACTTAAATTATAAGTTTAATTATTGCTGGAAGCATTATCAAGAGTGTTATCATAATAGTTGCTGTTGTTGCTTTGCCAAGTCAATTATTTGACTGATTGTCACTGCTCTGATGCTTTACATGTTGGGATAAAGAGGATTTTGATTTATTGTCTGATTCCGCATCTGGTAAGAATCCCCTATACTTCTTTGCGCTGTTTAACTTTTACATATGACCTTTACTATTAAGTGTTATTTGTTACTGTGATAGAACACAGTGTCTGTACAGCAAACCTACCATATAGCAGGTTTCACTTACAAATGAACTAAGGTACCATAAATATGGAGATCATTGTGACCATGGAGGCCCTAAAAAGCTTCTCTAAATAAGTCATGGCCAACTTTTGTACAAAGAAAAAAACATAACTTTTGAAAATGCTGAATGGACTTAAAGGAAATGGTTTCAAACTTAAATGTAATACAATCCTGATAGTCCTGATTTTAATTAATGGAAACAACAGTTGACTGGCCTTTTTCACAGCCGGCCTTCTAACCTTATAGCAAAAAAAAGCATGTGTTGCTACTGATAGTAATAATGACTTTATTCCATGAATGTGTCCCAGGAAGTATAACAATGAGCTAAAATTTAACATGCGTTTTGAGTTATGACTCACACCTGTTGTGCTATAAAAAGGACCACAAGACAACAGTTTAATCATTACTTTTCACCCCTGACAGTAATTAAATAAATATTCAAAATTAAGCATTAAAATACTACAAGTGTCACCTGAAAAGGGCTACAATACTTGCAGGGTTTTTATCTTTAAAAAATCCTGCAGGAGCACATTCAGGACGTCCTTTTTTCCCCCCTTTTGTTTCTTTCCTGCTTCTTTTCAATCCTCTGGCATCTATTAATTTGCAGACTCCCCCTTTCTCTCTTTACTACCACCTCCCCCCCTCCTTCCTCTGTCTGTCACTTGCTGGATAGGATATATAACTGCATTAGACTACATGACAGTGTGTCGACCCAAATCATTTCTCTATGTTTGCATGCAGTAGACATTGGGAGTGCGTGGAGAGGGTGCCCTCCATTCATCATCATCATATACACACACCCAACCACACATGCATCGACACCCTCCTCCTGCCTCCTGCACACACACATTTATCATCATCATAAACAGCTCAGACGCTAACACCATCAATCCCATTCACTTCCCCTCCACTTAACCACCACTAACTAACGGAGGAAGGAGGGAGGGAGAAGAGGGTAGTAGAGAAAAGAACATAAAAGACAAGGGGAAGGGAGAATGGTGTGGAACAAAATAGACACAACAAGGAGGACAAAGCAAAAGAGAGGAGATGCATGCGCTATAGGAAGACAACAGCAGTGGGGGAAGGATTTTTATTTACTAAAGTAAAAGCAATATCAGAATGTGTGCTTTCTCAAATGCAAGTAAAGCGCTTTAATTCAGAATTATATAGAAGTGAAGGTGTGGATAAGTTGAGTGTTATCAGCTATATTCCCTTATTTATTAAATTTATAAGTGCTGTATAACTACTTTGAATCCTGCTATATTTTATAGCAGCATTAAATGTTGTAGATGAATGTTATATGTTTGTTTTAAAATACAAAGTACATGTTGAACAATGGCTAAAGAAAGAAATGCTGTACAGAAATGTCAAAAGATATTTAAATGCACCGTATATGGTTTCTGCTGCTATTAGTCTCAATCAAAACACATGTCACTTTAACTCAACAACTCGTTTATTACCAATAACAATACTGAATACTCCAATGTTGCATTTTATTGTCTATTTATTGTTTATAGTTAGAGTTACATTCTATGTTTATTGTCTATATCCTGTTTATAGCTATATTCTGTTTTTCTTTTTTTTCTATTTTTATACTTTTTTCTATGTTCATTTTGCACCGTGGGGCCTCGGAGTATTGCAATTTCAGTTCTCTGTATGTTGTACATATGGCAAAAGTGACAATAAAGCTGACTTGACTTGACTTGATTTAAAAAATATGGAGCTTTATTATATTGTGAAGTGTGGATTCATGGGAGTTGTTGCCTTCACCACTGTTTGTGATGAAAGTCTTTCAGATGTGGCTTTGACAGAAATCATGTTCATGGATTAGGTGATGTACTAAAATGTTATACGTGTTATGTTTAGTTGCATATGTTCACGCTTTGTCATTTTAATTTTATGCAAAAGCCATACAGCTACTGTAGAGAGTGTTGAATAAAAACGTAGCACATAGTCCTGATGTTATCCACGATCAGTATAATCATACCATTTTCCTATCTCCAAAACATCACTTATAAACTTCCCACCGTTAACAGCTGCTTGCCCAGAAGGAGTCCAAAGGCTACTTAGGATTGTTGGGTTCTCTATTTAAATTTGTAAGGTCTATACCTTACTATGTTAAGCGCTATGTGATGACATATGTTGTAAACTGCGCTATACAAATAAAATAAAATTGAATTGAATTGAACTGAATTTAATTCAGGGAATCACAGAATATTACAATTTAATTCACTGTATGTGCCCATTTTCAATCCAATAGCTGTGTAGACATTTCTCTCAAACCCAGAAAACCTGATATGAAGGAAAACCGATAAAAAACAGACCAGCAACACCATCTCAGAGACCATGTGGATAATGTGGTCTAATGTGACATTCCAGCAACTCTTATGAAAAACATTTGTAAACAAAAAATATTATGCACATTTCCTTGTTGTCACATTAAAAATGCAGTATTGGTCATGTAAAATGAAGCAAGGCTCCTGCATTTCATCCTTTTATTTTTCTGTCCTCTTCAGTTTATGTTTGCCTCTCCACCTCCCTTCCTACTTGTGTTTCTCTCTCACAGATCCTCTCTCTGCTCCAGCCTCCCTCTGTCCCTCTCCGCCTCCTCTCTGCTGTCTCAGTGTAGTAAAGTTTTTCTTTGTGTTTGACGCGACAGCGAGGCATTAGTGCAGACGGGCTACTCATCCGCTCAGGGTCAGTGCACAGGGCAAGGAGGAGAGGGAGGAGAGGGTGGAAGAGAGGAGAGATGGACTCTCTATAGCCCAACTTAGAGGGGGCAGACAGGGCCAGATCCTCTGAGGTGTGTGTCTGTGTATATGTGTGAATGTGCATGCGTGTGTGTGTGCATGCAGTGTATTTGTGCATATGTATGCCAGTTGTATTGATGTATCTGTTCTCCACAGCCTTGCTGTAGAGGTCAACGAACAAGTACAAGTCTCCTCCGTGCTCACTTGCAGCTACAGATGAACACACATCCTCTGCTTCTCTTTCTCTCTTACTGTCTGCCTATCTAACGCTTCCACATCAAACAGCCATCAGAACAACACATGTCAAACCTAGAGGGATCAAGGGCATGCAGTGTGTCCCTTTGTGCGTTTGCACTCTAGCAGACTGGGTGAAGTTCAGGGTAAAAGAAAAATACCCTACAGATTTGGAAAGGCCACAGAAAGGAGGACTTAGTGTGTAAATGTTGCTCTACAGCATGTGTCTTGGGTATCAACACTTCAAGGATGCAATAACATTGCGTCAAACACACAGACGTTTGATCCCCTAGAGGGAGCTCTATTCAGAGGGAAAAGACAGGCAAGGAATTGCATGCATAATATTCAGAAGGTGTGAGTGTGTGTGAATATGAATGTGTGTGTGTGTGTGTGTGTGTGTGTGTGTTTGCATGCATAAGCAGAAATGAAAATTTTATCTCTCTCTCTTTTTCTCTCACTCTCAGTCTCTGTCTCTTTCTCTCTTCCGGCACGAGCAGGTAATATTCCTCAGTGGTTTCAGAGGGCAAAAAAGAGCCCATTCCCAGATATCCCAAATTCCCAGCTCTATGATTCCCCTCATTACAGATGGGAACGTGAAAGCCTTGTCCAAGTGCTCCCTGGTCTACTCTTAATTAACCACTGCCTCTCCCAGTGCCCCTAAATGGACAAAGAGGAATAGACAAGGTTCTCACTTTTCCTGTACCCTTCCACCTTTCTTTTCCTCCTTTTGCTCTGTGCTTCTTTCCTCTCCTGAGATCTAAAACACTGAGCTCTTTAAGCACTTAGAATCCTGTAGCTTCATCACTGCAGAGGTAGACTAAAAGGCATTTGGAACTGGCTTACATTTGGCTTTTTTTTTCTTTTTTTAATACTGTGGAAGTGACTTAGGTTTGCTTAGAAAGTGTGAAATGTTATCAGCTGTGTAGACATTCAAATTTTCGATGGAATCTTTATGATATAGATTATGGCGTCGGATAGCATGTCACTCTTTACCTTTACTGACTGATTTTATGGTTGATGAAAGCTGAAATGCAGCCTTGCAAATGCAAAAAAAATATTGATCACTTCCTTTGCCTCATCTTTAAAAAATAATAAGAATAAAAGGGTTATCAAACCAGGCAGAAAAGTGATATCACCCACAAATGAAAAAAGTGCTCAAAATGCACACTAGAACACAGAATTATACAAACTACAAAATTGTAGAGAAACATCCAGATTGTATCAGGTTTGCTGACAAATGGGCATATTAATGGAAAAAGGGCATTTACAACCTACGAGGATGGTACCAAAGACATTTCATGAGCTCAGTTGCTACAGATTACCTGATGAAGCTATGAAGCTTAACCACAGGTGTACATAACCTTTTTAGGAGAACAGCTTAAGAGAGTTGACAGTTATTTGTTGGATATCATTTTTACCTGGAACTAGAGAATAGGACTGTGGACCGGACACGCTGGCTCCTAACTCTGCCCCTGTGCCCGGATTGGCCAAACTGTTCTTCATCTCGTCCAGTCCGCCTGCTAGCGAGGCCATGGCCGAATAATCTGACGTCTGGAAGGAAGCAGGAAAGTGGAAAAAGAGTAAACGTGTTAACAAATCAGAACGACAAGAACAAATACTGGCACTCACTGTTAGTTCTAACATGAATGCACAGACTGTTCCCTGTGTTACATACAGCTGTGATCAATCTGTTTGTTATATTCTCCTGCATTTCCAACATGCTGCACCTTCTTCACAGTGGAGAGCAAAGGAGCTTTTGTATGAGCACATGTATACACACACATACACACACACATACACACATACATATACACACACACACACACGCGCGCGTGCACTTAGACCGACATACGGAAACACACCTACAGCTGAGAGTTTATTGATCTGTTTACAAAGACAGGGATTTACTGTACAACCAAGTCCAACAGTCTATAACCACAGGATCAGCTTGCTCTTTCTCTCTATCTCCCTCACCCTCACACATACATCATACACATCCTACACACACACACATACACACACACACACACACGCACACACACATATATATCTATATATAATTCTTCACACACATACACAGTGGCATTACATAGACCATGGCTAACACAAAGCCTCTTGTCTCCCCAGATACCAACAACAATAAGAGCTGTGATCATCTCAGCACACGTACACATGGACTCCCAATGCCCTTTACACACAAGCACACACGCCTGAGAAGTTAAAAACCACATGAAGAAGGGGAGACTGAAGTGACAAAGCAATATGTTGTTTTTTTGTTTTGTTTTTTAGCTGTGCAGCTTTTATTTTCTCTGCAAACTGTTAAACCCTCTTAAACAAAAAAATTACCTTGTCATAAGAGGATGCAAATAGATACTTTAATTTAAAGATTTTTCTCTAAATATTAATGATTTCCTGTATGATCATCTGAGAAACAGTACGGTAAATGCTAAATGTGACATTGATCAAAATCATGGCGATAAATAAAATCAACACATGAAAAGAAGCCACAAATAAGAGAAACAGGAGAAAACTGAAAAAATGCTGCAGTAATGATCACGCAAAAAGTATATTAGAAATCATCTGTTGTCCTCAACACAGATTCTGACATTTGGATCCACCAAACTCTTGCAGATGAGTTTTGGAAGTAGCTTCTGTAACAACCCAGGTTTGCCAAAATATAGCCGCATGGATGGATAATGGAAACTGTCTGCTCACCTGTGTTTGACCCCTACATAAAGCCATGACCCATCCATCCTCATCTCTATGCCATATTTGTGTTTGTGTGTGAGAGAGTAGGTGTGTATGTATGAGTATTTGTGAGTTGTGTGTGCTGATTTAGAGTGATGGTGCTGACGCTGATGACCAACGATATATTGAAGAAACCCCAAAGAATCTCAATGCCTCGATATCTATGATGGCCCAATAATCTGCTCACTGTGTGTGTCTGTGTAGTTTTCAGTAGCTAAATATTTGTGCACCTAGGAGAAAGGACAAAGGGATGTGCAGAAAAGTCACAATCTTCTCAATTTGTGCACAAATGTAATTATGAAGAATCATTAGGAACACACACAAAAAAGGCTTTGATAGCAGCTATGGAGTACAACACTTTTCAAGCTTGGCTCCTTTTCTCAGGCTACATCAGGAGGTTGATGCTAACCTGTTTATAGAAATGTGGAAAAGTAAAAGTCATAATTATGTAACAGACAAACCGCTGTGGGCCTAAATATAAGTAGGAGACGTACACTAGAAGTGTAAATTTAAAAAAGGGTTTTATTCAGGGGCTGCAAGGTGTCTCAGTGGTTAGCACCATTGCCTTGCAGCAAAAAGGTTGCCGGTTCGCGTCCTGGTGAGGACACCCGGGATCTTTCTGCGTGGAGTTTGCATGTTCTCCCCGTGCAGCGTGGGTTCTCTCCAGGTTCTCCGGCTTCCTCCCACACAGTCCAAAAACATCCATCCATTATCTATACACCGCTCAATCCTCACTAGGGTCGCGGGAGGGCTGGAGCCCATCCCAGCTGACTTAGGGCGAAGGCAGGGGACACCCTGGACAGGTCGCCAGTGTCCAAAAACATGTTGAGGTTAAATGGTGATTCTAAATTGTCCGTAGTGTCCCAAGTGTGCTTGGTTGTCTGTCTCTAAGTGTAGCCCTGCGATAGACTGGCGACCTGTCCAGGGTGTCTCCTGCCTTCGCCCGAAGTCAGCTGGGATATGCTCCAGCCCCTCGCTTTAGTGAGGATTAAGCGGTGTATAGATAATGGATGGATGGATGGGTTTTATTCAAATCAGTTTTAATATTCACAGTTTGTGACTCTGAAATCTGTCCAGCTTCTTCTGAAATAAACAATCACATCATTGTATAAGAACATTTCCGTTTGTACAGTGTGTCAGTAACTGAATGCATCGCCACTGTTTACCACTGTGACATTAATTCAGTTCAGTAGTACATTTAGTGTGTCTCTAGTTCAGCCTGTTATGCTATGTTCAGTACAGAACCAGCCGCATAAAAAAACTGTTCATATGGTTTCGTGCTCCAGCTGTCTCTTTGCTGCAGAGTTATCACATCATTAATGTTTCTGCGGCTTCTGCAGTGTTTTAATAAGCTGTTAACCAAGAAACCGTAATGGCTGAGCTGAGTGAGCTGCTCTCAGTCATCAGTTATAAGAGCCACCACCACTGTCATAAGCTGCTGCTTCTCCAGCTTCAGGTTGCGAGATGATTTTGAAAAATCAAATAAAATGTGAAAACAGTTAGAAAAAGCATATTTTAGCCAAAATTATTATTAAAAAATATAAAAGACGGTACATTTACAATAAGTCCATGCAAATAAAATTTAACCCAGAATGGACTTGTTGTGCTCCAGGCATAGTGTCCACCCATCACATTGAGGTTGATGTTGAAAATTTAAGCAACGACAAAAATTCACACAAGTCTGCTGCTCCGACATACTGTGTTTACTTAGTAGTACAATTTGTACATGGAAATGACTGATGTATTCCACGACTATCTTATATTAAGTTACTGTAAAACAATAACATGCTTGTTGCTGTTGTTTTGCGTTTTGATTATACCTGTGTTTTTATAGATGTTGTACTGCACATGTGTGGCTCTTGTCATTGTTCATATGCTCCCTTCAGCTATGGGGATAGTGGTGGTTTCAGCCTCTGCCGTAGTTATTTCGTGTTTTGTAGGATGGAAAGTTTGATGAAAGTGATTGTTTCGTTCTTACATGCACTACACACCTCTAGTAATGCACAATATAAAACATCTGTCAAAAGAATTTCCTTCAGGATTACTAGGTTTAAAATATCTTAAGCTTGCAATTTTGGAAAAATAAAAAATAGACACATATTTATCAGAGGTTAATTTGGGGTTTGATCTGTGCGCTCCTCCTGTCTGCATGCGTGTATCGTCAACCAACACACTGAGCTTCAAACTGTTTACAATATATGTGTATGCAAAAACAATGAATCTGCTTTGGACAAAATAATATAATTACATATCAGCATTCATGCCACACTTCTAGAAGTATTTACTATAGTAGCTGCTTACTTATTTAAGACACGCTGTGTACATGTATAGCTGCTAGGCCAAACTTTTTGAGCTTTTTGTGCACAAATGGAGCAGATCAAATTTTTCACTTTTCTGTATTAAATGGCGTTTTTTGTTTGTTTTTTTTCATTGTGCTACTGCTGACCTGTGTGTGTCTCTGTATGTGTGTGTGTGTGTGTGTGTGTGTGTGTGTGTGTCTGTCTGTCTGTCTGTCTGTCTGTCTGTCTGCCTGTCTTTCTGTCTGTCTGTGTGTTCGTGTGTGCTCGTATGTGTTCGTGTGTGTACACTAATGACACCAGTCAGAATTTCTTTTAGGTGATGAGGTGAGAGTTTTGCACTGACCCTTTTAATACGTCTGCATCTGTGTGTATGGAGGAGTAAGTGTAGGCGTGTGTTTGTGCTCACTGACCTCTTAAACACCCCTGTGCTCGTCAACACACAACACAACCACTGGACTGTGACCTGCCAAATAAGAGCTTACCCTGTACACTACACACCTCTCTCTCTCTCTCTCTCTCTCTCTCTCTCTCTCTCTAGACTTCAGACACCATTTTTAAGCCCTATTTTCTCTCTCACATCAAACCCATCGCACCTGTAGTTTTTTTTCTTCTTCATCAAATCATACACGCTATCCCTGCACAGCCAGCCCCCTCCTCTCTTGGCCACACTCTGTCTTATTATAATGGCGTCTAATGTGTCCATGTATCCATGTGTAGATGGGGGCCAGGCAGCAGCAGCAGAGAAGAAGGGGTCTGCTGTGGTAATTGGCCATGATGAAGTTTGGCCAGTGGGGTGACAGGCCCGCTAAGGAAGATGGATCATTCTCATTCGCCCCCGTAAATGTTGTCAATTCCACCGCTCATACAGCACCATCAGCCCTCATCAAAGAGGGGGGACGCAGCTGTAGGGACGTGGAGGGGTTGGGGTTTGGGGGTTGGTGATGCTGGTGGGGAGGAGTTGTACGGGATGGAGGGTTACAAGAAAAGGTGGCAGGGGGAGCCGGACCTGGGACAGGATGTCATAGGCAGGAACAAGCAGTGAAGTAGGAGGGTAGATATAAATAATAACATCTGTAGGGGAAAAGGGAACAAGGGGAAGACGGGGTATGGAATTGAGATGATTAAGGGAAACAGAAATGGTTGAATAAATGAATGGGAACGAGAAAGGAATGTAAGAGTAAATGAACCAAAACAAAATTCTGTTAGGAAATCTTGAGAATTGAGTCATGTTCAGACAGACATTAGGGTCCCAGAGAGGAGTGTTCCACCAAAAAAAAAAAAAAAAGGGTCAGGTTGTCTGGCAAAAAGGCTGAAGGCTAACTTTCATAAAATGTCACACAGTAACCATAAATCTTGCATTGTTTTGGTATCTGATAGTGTTTAAACTCATGGATCTGTCACTCCAAATAGACATTTCTAATTAATTTCAGCTCACCACTGTTAATCTGTTGATCTGAATAAACTATTTGGTTTGACATGATAGAAGGTGCATAAGTATACTTT